TTTGGAGGCTGTCACACACGGAGCGACGGCCGAGGAGTTACAGTAAAACGAACATTTGTTAAGAGCCAGACATGGAAGGCTGTAAACTGAAATAAAAATTAGATCCAGATTGAATCAGCATTTGTTATTAGAAATCTCTGACTCCAGGCAATAATGTTTAAAGTCTACAAAACGTCTCAGAGAAATCATATATTTTTTAGCCCAATAAGGCAGAGTAGATCCTGATGTCCTGAGCTGTCACTGGAAAAGTTTACAGCAAGAGATAAATTCAAATCCTCATTTCACATAGTTTCAGATTCCATTATGTAGTGGGTAGTATGCCTGCCTTACACCTAGAAGGTCATGGGTTTGAGCCCAAGGGACAACCTGTTGCAGCAGATCTGCTGTTAACAAAATTTGGGATCAACAGTTCAAATTATTATGTTTATTATTCACAAAAGACCAAATCTAAAGTAAGTGGTTAATCAACAAAATGTTAATTATTCACAAAAGACCAAATCTAAAGTGGTTAATCAACAAAATGTTGAAACACAAAAACTAAAGATAGTTTACTGTGGAAAATATTGACATACTTTACAGTTGGCTAAAATATTTTTTTACCTAACCCTAACTGGCAACGATCATGAATGTGTCAGGATTTAAAACCACGATAATAAAAACCTATAGAATATTCAGCCACTTTTGTACTGTACATCGTAGGTTTAAAAAAACAAACACTGGAACTGTAACATGGACCGACCTGATGGAAGAGTGGACTGTGCGTGACTGGAATCCTGAGAGCATTAAGGCACATTCCCAGCACCATGTCATCCGGAGCGTCATTGCTGTAGCATTTGCAGCCACTGTTAAGAAGTTGGACCACGGCCTCATCCTACACACACACAGCCGCAGGGAAATCAACACACGTGCACACAATCATCAATGCAGAAACACATCGACCCTTCTTCCAGTTCCTCAAACTAATTATCTCATTTTTATCGTTCCGATAAGACGACAACAGAGGAAGAAACGAAGCTGCAGATCAAAGCCAGAGGCAGACACGTTGTTTCCTTCTGATTTGGCTCGGCAAGAGAGAAACACATGAACAAACGACGGCGGCTGTTCATCACCGACACTACAAACATCATTGTTTGTAGTAAAAACTGCCAGCTGCAATGCTGTGAAGTGTCACGGCAACCAAACACACACACACACACACACACAGCTCCATCATGGATTGGTATCTGGTACAGATAAACACTGACACACAGCCAATGCTGCTCCTTCACAAACCAGTCAATGACAAGGAATTTCATTCCATTTCCTTTTATAGCGATAAGCAGCAATTCCTGTCTGTAAGTTGCTGCACAGATTCCATGCCTTGCCCTATCAATGAGAAATATGTATGCAAATTCACACAGCTCCAATTGTAATACCTTTGGTAAAACAATCTCCCTCAGGACAGAGGAACACTAAATAAATATGGATTTTCCAGACTTTTTTTCTCCTACTCTCTCTGCAGCCTTTGCATCCTGAATTGTTATTCTGCGAGTAGCTGTGTGGTCTTGGTCGACATTTGACTCCAACAGAGTCCAAGGGACGTTCAAGGACCCATGACTCAGACTAGAATTGAGAATTAAGCCTTACTGCATTTGCCTTACTAGAATTTTAAAAAGGTTTGGGAACGACTTAGGATACTAAATATTTAACAATAAGAATAAAGTTACATTTATTACCAATATGTTTACATGGCAAAGAGTTCCAATAGACCAATACCACATATACAGTATATGTAGGAAGAGTTCCAATAGACCAATACCACATATATAGTATATGTAGGAAATGTTGTACTATAAAATAAACCTTTCTTTTTGTCATACCTTTAGTAACATATATACCATATTTTCCAGACTATAAGTCTCTCCAGAGTATAAGTCGCACCAGTGCCCTCTAGCGGCTGTCAGGGTGAAAAAAACGAACATACATATTGTATATGTATACACACACATATCTGTATATATGATATATATATATGATAGATCGATGCATATACAAAATATATATAGATAAATATATACAGTATATACTGCTTATATATAATTTTGATATATGTATATGTGTGTGTGGCTACATATACAGTGTATAAAAATATATATGTAAAATGTATATATATATAAGGATATATATATATACTCATTGAGACTCACCCTCCTCCTCCAGTGATGTAGCTGTAGCCACCTTGGCTCAGGCCGTAGCCGTACCTTTCCCCGAGACCCACTGGCCCAGAAGGGTCATAACAACTCAGCAGAGCTCTGAGTCTAGGGAGGCTGTGGGAGGGACCAGACACAGTTCAACACACACTCACTATTCCATGTTGGCAAATCCACACAGGGATCCATAGAAGAAACGTCAGTTTGTTTAGTGACCACTATGGCACATCGATGACCACTGAACCTGCGGAAAAAACTGCCAGTTCAAACATATACCTGATCAGTGTGTCGTCGTCCACGATAAGCAGCCACTGGGTGTTTGGAACAGAGCTGCTGAGAAATCTCTGAAGGATTGCAAATGTTTTCCCACAGTGGCCTGTAGAGTGAGTCACAACAGAGCAGACATTGTGAAAAACCAATATCACATATTGACAAAACCGTGTGTGCCAAAACCCCAGCTGTGCGCACTGCTGTCTGCACAGACAACGTGACAGAGTGGCCTTTACAACAATGGCCAGCTACTCCATCAGAACAAGTAGGATTTGAATGAGTTTCTTATTCAAAACAAATGAGCAGAAAACACACCTTTTCATTCAACAATAAATATTGTAATTTAAAATTAATTTGAAATACTTTTATATATAGTTGTAGGAGGTTCAGGCTCTTGGGCCAAACAGAACAGGGTCAAAAAGAATGATTTTTACAGTTTAAGGTACATTGAACTCATCACTCCCTCACTGTAAAATAAATGTGTTTTCTTTAGTCCTGGAGGGTGGGGCAGTCCCCCAGTTGGACCAAGGCTCGGGATTTAACGAAGCACTGTGCACAATTCCACCTTTTCTCGAACACAGGACGTAGATGAGAAACCATGTGACTAAACAAAACAAACCGTGTGGCGGCACACAACAAATACAAGAAGAAATTCAAATATCTGCCGACACCAGCACAGCTGAGCGCCGAGGTGTGCGAATCCCTGTGGGCAAGGATCAAAAAACACACGAAGCCCTGCTGTTTTATTCATAAGCTGGTTTTCTACCTTCTTTCAGAAAAAAAAGTAAATAAATAAATAAATAAAGCTGCAAACTGTTGACGTGAATTAAATATTAAATATTATAATTAAATATAAATAAATAAAGCTGCAAACTGTTGATGTGAATTAAATTTCTGAAATAATTTACATTGTAGAGGACAGTCATTTTATGATTGTTATGGTAGTCGGAAATGATGACAGGGTCTGAAAAGATGGATTCAATTCCTCTTTTTTTATTGTGGTCCTGGAGCATCTATCATTAGACATCGACGTTTTTCACAGAAAAATAAAACAGCTTTGACTTTGTGTAGCTTCAACATTAAGGTGAAAATATTTTTTTTCTCATTTCACTGTCTTGCATCAACTCTCTTCTCCCTTGCTGTATTAATTTTAAATAACTGGTCATTAAGTAAACATACGGTTTTAACTTCCTGTTTGTCCATCACCTTTTCCACTCTATCTTTTCAACAGTCCCAACGTTTGATTTTGGGGCTGCTCGGGCACCGAAATGTGAAACGTCCATATCTGTCCCTCACACGTTCTCACTTTGTTCTCAGTCACCACGAACACAATCTCGTCTGTATTCGCTGTGTACTGAAAACATGCATTTATGAATCACAAGCAGGTATCTGTCTTGTCAACAGCAATCTGGACAAATAGACAAGGACATCTGCGCCAGGAAAGACAGAGATGGTCCCAAATCCAGGGTTTTTAACATTTGTTGTCCTTGTGATGATTTACAGGTTCTCTTTGACACGACTCGTTTTATTAAGGAAGAAAAAAGGCAGAAATACAGATTATGGCCACAGAATATGTTTGAGTGACATCAAACGGGAGCCATCTTGGTCTGAGGGAACAACAGTGACTTGACACTGATGCTTAAAGTCAGTTTTACTCTGTAAATGCTCATTATATTGTGTGGTGACGGTCATTTCTCCATATAGGAGTGACAAAATGGATATTGTTATTTTATTATCCCACAGTATTTTATTACTGCACTTGTCCTTAGGTATTGTGAAAGGAGCTTTAAAATGTATTATTATTTATTACAGTATGATCATAATAATAATAATTATTATTCTCGGCATGATGGCCTTTAAAACATGCTCCACTCAGGTAAGGGTGGTCTTCACTGTAGTTTTGCATGATTTCATATGTGAGAATTCACAGGTTTTTGGAGACTCTAAACCATTGTTTCCCAAAGACTGGGTCACGAACCTCAGGTGGGTCGCAAGAGATTTTTTTTTTTGGGTCATCTCGCATCATGTTTCCCAGGAATTTACGAATAATGTCTATTGACTTCGGTCGCGAAGGTTTGTGACTTTTAAAATATGGGTCCTCAGAAAAAAAGTTTGGGAAACACTGATCAGTCAATGGTTTTATATCCCTTTAAACAATGTTGTTCGGACTCCAAGCTCCTGCCTGAACATTTATAAGATCAAGTCAGTAATATATTAATACATTATTCATACATTCTTGACATGGTTTTATGAGCTGGCTCCTAATGCACTAACAAATCAATAGCATGATCAGAGTCAAGGCAGAGTGAGAAATAAGCACTCCTGGCAGTGAATGCAGACGTGTGATGCTTCTTGACTGTTCTTGAACTCAAGGCCTCTCCTTCCAGGCATTAGCATAAAACCTCCAGGCCTTAATAGAGATGCAAAGCAATAAAAAATAAACCTTGAATTTGATTAAATGTTAACTAAAGACTGTGCAACATTCGGAAAATGTGTAATTTTATATCACGATTTCATATCAGCTAATTTCTTTTTACTGACACCTGTACAGGCCACTGACTCGTTTGCATATCTTTCATGGTAGATCGCTAATGGTATTCTGGTTTTTTATGCAGTTCAATTTGCATTCTTTAAACCACCAAGTGTCATTATGGGCTTTATACGATTGATATTATGTACAGTCGTGAAAAATGAAAGGAGAGCGTCTTTATTTGGCTGTTTACCAACTCCCTCCACCTTCTTCACAGACTGTGGACAACTTCCAAGGATTGCAACATTCATTTGATGCCTCTGAAAGTAAAAAGCATCTAGAATTAAAAAGACACTTTTTCCTTAATGACCTACGAGAAAATGATGGACAACACGGAACTCAAGAAAGTCCAAGCAGTGCACATGATAGGACATCAGAACCAGGGTTAGGCCACATGTTGACTTGGCCAGGAGACAAACCATGAATCATGCAAGAATTAATTACCACAATGGTATCACAATACAAGGACAAAACAGGCAACAGAAGTGCTGGCGACAGCTTTACGGCTGATTTAGTAGTGTATGTTGAATCTATGCCCTGTCCTTCAAAACAAAATCACTGTAACTGGCTCCTGAGCCTTAGCCAATCCAAAGACAAAGGGATAGAAATCAAGAGAAGTACAGTCGGTGAAGGGGTCAGTACACGGGAGAGCACACGTCGAACCCATAAATACGGTTCACCCCACCTGTCAGTCCGACGGTACACTAAATCACTGGGCAGTACTGCAATGCTAACCGCCCTGTAATTGTGATGGATGTGGACTGTGGACTACTTCATGTAGTCATTGAAACGTTGAAGTGGTTGTAAATATTAACTGGGGCTGTCGAAATGAACACGATGAATGTGTTATTTAAATTGTAGAGATTGATTTGATTAAAAATTCTAATGCATTTTAACTAAAGGGCAGATTTTTTTTTTCAAAATTCCGTCAAACATGTCTACCTGCTGTTTTTGGTCATTTTGTTCCAGCATTTTACTGACTTTTTTTTGTCATATATTGGCATGTTGATTCATCTTGATTAATCAGGATTAATCAATGAAATTTTAACCTATTGAGAGTTCACTATTAACAATTTCCATTTGTCCCTATTAGGGAATTGCAATGAACCATACTGACATATTTATGTATTTATATATTTTTTTTACATGCAAATATAAGTTTGTAAGAATTATGGTGTTCGAAATAACTTTAAAACCAAAGTGAAGAATGTTACTGAATAACAATTACTATTTCTGTTTCAATAGTTGAGCTATTTTCAAAAGCCATTGTTCTAGATGAATTTCCACTTTTCTGTGTACGCAAGCTTTCACATTAACTTGGAAAAACACAGACGAACCTACAGTTCCACAGAGACTGCCTCTTAACCAGTGCAGACAATAATCCTTTTTATCAAACGAAGACATTTCAGGTAAATCACAAAAAAAAAAAAAAAAAAAAAAAAGCTCTGCTCAGAAAATGACAGCTTGGAAAAAAAAAAAAAATAAATAAAGCTCTGCTCAGAAAATGACAGCTTATTGTAAAATTGTTTGTTAATACATGTTGTTCATTTATTTCCAATGAACACCATGCTAACATCCCAGCAACTCTGTGGTGTCACCTGAAGGGACTGTCCAAACCCCTAACGAACATCGAATCACTTTAAAAGACCACTCTACTTCTATTCTCAGCCAACCATTTTTTTAAAGTTCCAGACCAATTTATTTTGAGGACAACACCTGCTTAAGTAACTTAAAGTTTTGTATGTGCAGCACAGTTGTACCGTTGTATTCCAGGGAAGTGTCACATTCTTTTAAATCTTTCACACATCCCAGTGCAATTTTTAGAGTCGACCCCAGAAGTGAGGCAATTATGACTCCACCGCTGTGGAATCAGGATAAACTGCTCACTGAAGAGGCAACGCCTGAGAGCTATGGAATATTTTAATTTACTAGTGGAGAACATAATAGCACAGGGACACGGTCAGAAAGCTGGATGAAAAATCAGACACATTGTAGCGCTCCTCAGAGCAACAATGGCTCTGATTACTGCTGCTGTCGATTACACAGGCAGCAGACGGGCTTTAAAATGTTCATCCTTAAGTAAAACTTGGACATTTATTTCACATTTGAACCCAATTATATTTAGGAGCGCAGCATTAATAATAGGGCTTTATCAGAGTAACAACTGTAAATCATACTTGGATGATAAATGCAGCCGTGTGTCTGTGAAACCAAGTCATCATTTAGAAAGTCACCTGGGACCTGAACGCATGCCTTAAAACACATGGTGTTATTAGTTTAACATACAGGTGTTTCAGTATGGTTTTAAATGAAAAACTGTGCTGCTTTGAACTGGTAGAACATATAGAACTGCATGAAAAAACAAGTCCTCTGCAGAGATGACCATGTAAGGATAAAATCCATCTGCAGTTAACAACTTTAGGAAATTACCTTTTTTTTAATAACAAAGGTGTTCCAGAAAAGCCTCTAAGCCATTTACGTGGAGCAAATTGGTTTTGTGGTGTCGGATTGCTTTGTTAGTCGGCGGTCAGATTCTATTAAATTCATACTTGAATTAATTTAATTAATTAAAAAATATATATATAAAATGCCCCTTTCCCGACAACTTCAAGTTAAGTCTTAATTTTCAAGGAAGGGGAATTCTTTAACAGTAGTGTCTTTTTAAACATATGGCTCTCGGTTGATATTTGAATCAAAAAATAAGTGCTGGAGGGTTTATCTCCTACTAGTAGAAAAAACATTTTTGTTGTTTTTGAAGGCGTCTCATCATCGTAACTGTTGAGGAGTTGAACTCAGATATTTAACGTAGAGAACACTGTTCTGCTAGTTCTGTCCTGTGAATCATCAGCATCAGTCAGTATATAACAGACAGAACATCAATGTCAATTACTTGATGTGTGGTGAATTATTTATCCATGCTGTAGGAATCTTCCTGCTGGGTCATAATCAAAGGTTGGTATCAGTCGCACACAGCGAGACATGTGTGCCACTGCGTCCTGTGGTAGCGTGGCCGAGTGGTCTAAGGCGCTGGATTTAGGCTCCAGTCATTTCGATGGCGTGGGTTCGAATCCCACCGCTGCCAACCACATACTGCTCCCTGGGTGCCTAAAGCTGCCCACTGTTTACTATGGTGATGGGTTAAAAACAGAGGTCACATTTGGTTGGCTGGTGCGATGTTCTGTGTCACAATGACAAGTAGTTCACTTTCCTTTTTCCTTTTCCTTTCCCTAACATTAGCACTAGCACATTAGCACAATCCTAGCTAATAAATATGACGTTATATTCCATTCGACCTGACACTGGTTTCTCAGACCACGACAACTCTACGGACAATTGTTCTAGTTCACTTACAAGGAAACTAAGTTTTCAAACACAGCCTCTTTCATCTACTAAGTTATAATTTCACATTTTCTAGGAAAGTGAAGAGTTCATCCTGCGCCTCGATCCAAACAGGTTGCACAGCACGTCCTGGTAAAGACCTGAGCTGCCTGGAGACAGGAGCAGAAGTGGAGGTGAGATGAATCCACACTCTGGTGATCACCCACCCCCACTCCTCCCACTGCTGGGCTGAAAGTGGCTACAAATGGTGCATCATCACATTAAGATGCAACATGAGACATCTCAGGCGACATTCTCGGCCACGGGCAATCAGACTATGAAATAATTTTCAACCAAATGCTCAGAACCTCAGGAAACTGAAGCTGCGCTGATTCAGAACCAGAGCTGTCCTTACAGACAGGCCTGGAGACTCCTGAAAACACTCGCTCTACAGGTTTGGTATCATACAGCATTATTTTAGTAAAAGCTAAAAAATAATAAAAATAATAAAAAAAGTTAAATAAATATATATATGTTTATCATTTTGTGAAAAACAATGTTATACATAAGACTGATGAAAATCAGTTCTGAAAAGAGAAAAATAAAGAATCAATAAGAAAAAAAAATCATTTCAAGGTTCTGGGGTTTGAAAAGCTCAGCCTGTTTCATTGTTCGTGAACCTCTGTGTTTGTACTGTGGCTGACCGTGCACAACTGTCAAAGTCTCACTGTGTGTGTTTTTTTTTTTTTTACCCCTGGGACCACAGCAGTTCTTACCTCTCTCAGTATTTGGAACTCCCAAATTAATGGTTGGTATTGAAGGGTCACCGTGGTCACTGTAGTACTCCAGGAATAACGCCTCCTTCTCCCAAGTTTTCTTTATCACAGGAACTAGAGGAACGAAGGTGAAAGAAGAAAAGTCATTACAACATTTTCCCACAGAGCAGAGCACTGGTTTCCTGAACTTTAGTCGTCACGACTGAGCGTTTATCAACTATTCATTTGACTGAATGTTTTATCTGATCTTCTTTTCCGACAAATTATACCTATTAAGGAAATATCAACGGAAGGAAATACATGTGTATTAGAGAAACATTCTCACTGTAAGATTCAAATATTACAACACAAGTGAGCCCTAGAATCAATGGCTGTTTCCTATAAAGGTAAAAAAAAAAATTTAAAAAATCAGGTCCCACTTTTCGAATATTTATAAATTAACTGGACTGCATCAAAAAATACATTAAAATATTATTTAATACAATACAAAACAATAAAATTCATAACGTATCATTTGTAAAAAAAAAAAGACTTTTGTTAAACGTCTGTGCCACCCTATTGCTGTTTTCACTGACGTGAGGCAATTACAATTTCTAATTTATAGGATTTATTACTATTTTTATTATTTTTATTAGTAGAAGTAGTAATACTAGTAGTAGCAGTAGTATTAGTATGCATCGGCTGAGACGTAATGGTGCTGCGGTGACTTCACATGACAGGATCTTACCAATATATACGTGTTTGAATCTGCACACTCAGGTAAATATTTTGGTTTATGAATTGAATCTGCACACTCAGGTAAATATTTGGATTTGTGAAGAGCTCAGCTCACACCTGCAGATATTATTCATTCCATTAAACAACACCTGCAGTGAATCCTGCAGATGTGGTTGAAGAAAGTGCGGTGAAATCTAGGATTTATTGGGAACAAGTCCTGCAGGTTTGATCTTGGAGAACAACTTAAGAAGATTTAAGACTGGGATTTACTGCAACTGGATCCTCCATGAACTACACCACGAAGCTTAATTAATTACCAATGATTTTCATGTGTTAACCTGTACATGACCATTAAATGACTGAATTGACCATTTAACAGGACAAGTTCAGGTGAAATGAGAAGGTTACTTTAAATAGACTGTAGTTCTGACTGTACGAATAAAATGTTATTCTGTTTTGTCCTTTTGGCTGCAGTTGGAATTAAATGAAGCTTTTATTCCCAACCTTCACGATATAAATGGCGGAGGATAATAGATGAGAGAATAATTATGTATAAAAAACACTCAGAGACAGCAATAGGCACTTGTTTTAATTTACAAAGTAAATGCCCAATGATCTAAAGTGTCCTTTAATACTGTATATGGAGTTCATAATAATTTTATACTGTCAGCAGTTGAAACAGATCACTGCGTCTTGGCACAGAAATGAGTAATTAGTGTAATAGGACCATTATGTTTGAGGGACACACACTTATTGTAGTGTCCATTTTCTTTTTGACAACTCAACCATTAACCTGCTTTATAAAAATGTCTTGTTCCTTTACTGAATGAACCTGCAAGCAAACCAACAAACACTCGGACAGACAAGTGTGCTGCAGGAGACTCATTTGATAGCAGGTCAAATAAGTCCACCTCTGCAGTGTTCACTACAGACACGAGGAGAGACATTTGAGTAAAGATCTGTTTGAAATAAAGTATGGAGTAAAAGGGCAGAGCCACTGGGAAGGAACCTCCATTTCAAATCTTCCGAAATTGTCAAGGAAATTATTAGGGATGGCTCTGTGTGATAACGGTCAAAATTTTAGGATCAAACATTGAAGCACAACTATAGCCCATCTGATCCAATACCTAAGTCCAAATGCTCAACTTAACTTGCCCAACATGCTGTTAAGAGCAGACTATCGCCTCAGTATGAAATTCCAGTAACAGTATTGTTGTCGCACATGAAACACTACTAACCTACCCACCTATCTAGTGATCGATCGATCGGCCTATCTACCTACCTATCTATCTACCTATCTATCTATCTATCTATCTATCTATCTATCTACCTATCTATCATCTATAAGGACTATCTATCTATCTATCTATCTATCTATCTATCTATCTATCTATCTATAAGGACTTACTGTATGACTATGAAATGTGTGAAAGCCATTTGAACCATTGAGAACCATTTATTAAACGGTTTTACATTTAAAAACGTTTCTTCAGATTCTTTAGTTATGCAACATGTATCAATCTACAACCCTTCTGGGAGAACAGAGAACGTTGGTTCGTGCCAAAGAAGCCGATGATTGACAGGTCAGCTGATGGGAGGTTCGAGGCCTACATTATTATAAACTGCTGCAAAACATGCAATATTTTATTTATTATACAAATTTAAAGAAACACACCAATCCCTTCTAATGCCACCCAATGGTGGTGGTAGTTTGCATAATGTTACCAGAAAGAGAGTCACCGTGGGTGTACTTCACGTAGGATGGACATTTATTTGACAGCAGACGTTCGACTCACCTCTCTCCCTGTGAAACTTCCTGCACGTTTTCACAGCCACGAACACGTCTTCCTTTTTCACGGGCTCTCCCTTCGATCACAGAAACAGACAAACGTCAACGAAGGCTATTTATAATTAACTGCATAATAACATGGCACAAAAACAAAGGACTCTGTGTGTAAACGCTGCCAACCATGACCTGTGTCGACCGGTGCGTGGGTGTTGGAGTGTTTCTGACGTTTGAAATGTAAATGTTCACACCTGCTAGGTCACCATCAAAGACAATTTTAACGTTGTAGCAGGGAGTGTGTTGACTCAAATGGTGCAACTAACTGTTACTATGATGTTCTGTTGGACAATAAAACTAGGTCGACTGGTCGACAAACACTGTCTATACGTCAAGTCCTATGATTCAATTAAAGACTTTTAGATTATTATTCTAAATGTTTGGTTAATGTGTGGTTAGTTCATATTGCGTGGTGCTGTTCTACTCTGCTGACTTCTCTGCTCGGCTGCAGCAGCCACGGGTCATTAAGGAGCAGCCAATGTATTGACCAAGAAGCAGCCTGAGGTTTGTGTTGTCACTGCTGCCTCATTGTCTTTCCCTTAGAGTTTCCTGGGAAATAAAGGCAACCAGACCGATGTGAAATCACAGCAGACACTCACACACAGCGGAGGCTCACTGATCAGTGTGGTGGCACAGTGCTCCGTCTGAGGGGAGTCTCCCGGCTCAGTGCACAGCTCAGGAACAGCAGTCAGGGGAAGACCCTCACCATTGTCCCAGATATACAAGGCAACCTGTAACAACAGAGGTCAAGAGGTCAAGTACGTTTTTCTTGCATTTTTCAAATTGAAATCAATTATTTGAATTCATACATTTTGTTTTTTAAAAAATACATGAAGCATTAGTGTTAATTTTCCCAATAATTGTAAAGTTTATTGCAAATTAAATCCTACTTGTCAAATGTACCAGAAAAACAACGTCTCGTGGGCAGAGAAACAGGGTTTAAATTGGTTGTAATGCACAGACCTGTGGAGTGACAGGTCTGACAGGACACACTGAGAGCTGGTGGAGTCGGAGACAAACATGCTGTATATTATGGGATTTATAATGGGCTAAACTGAGGCTAAACCAGGAAGCCTCACCATCACTTATGAGCTCGGCCACAAATATATTTCTCAGGTAAATATACCAAACCTATGTACAAATGAAAGTCCAATGAAAGATTATTTAATCTCTAAAAAAATAAAATCTTTTATTTTTATGGACATTAATGGAAGAAGTAGAGCTTGGTAGACGGTGGCAAAAGGAAATAATGTAACAACAGGTTTAAACTATAGGGGATCCCAGAACCCGCCGGCCATACATTGTTGTCACTGCTGTGAATTTAATAAACCTGAGTTATGTTTGTAAAAGGCAAATGTGGCACAGAGTAATGCACTGTTACACGTGCAGGGATGGCAAATAAAAAAGGGCATTAATATCTAAAAAGAATCAACAACGGTCTGCACAATATGTGAAAAAACATCTCGTTCATTCTTTAAACTAATCGAATCAAATAAAAGCTTCTCACGTAGCTGCTGTGGCACATACCGTACTTTAGATGAACATCTTGGAGAAATCCACTCTATCTCCACCTGAACCACCATTTTCAGGCTGAGCCTGATAAACCCCGCTGCTGTGTTTACTCAATAAAATCCCTCGATGCTTCCTCCACTGAGTTTCAGTGATAAAAATGTGAACCTCCACACAGCACAACAGAGACTCTCCAGGGTAATGAGAATTCACTTCAGGGTTAGAAGGAACACTTTTTGTGTGGAAAATAAACAGCAGAAGTGTCCTTTTACAACAGCTATAACCAAACACTGAGTCATCGGTTTCTGGACTAAACACGTCCTGAAGGAACTTGAATTAATTCCATGTTTTCTCACCTCGTGTTTCAGGTCAATGGTGAAGTCAGACTTCAGTGGCTCCTCTTTCACTTTGTTTGCCAGCCTAGAAAATGAATTCACTCTTAATAACGTCTGATAAAATATATGCAGGGAAAGGAAAAAAATATTCTTGCCTTTAAAATAGAAAACTTGAATTAACTGGATGAGTTCGGTGTTCGACTCTCACCTAATGACCAGAGGGATGCTTAAAGCCCAGGCAGCAGCAAAGTCAGGGTATTTGAAGATGGAGGGGTTCTCTGCAAACGCGTAGTGATGGATGATGGTGGACTCCTGGTCGTGGAGGGGCTTACCCAGAAACCACTCCTGACAGAGGAATCAGACACGCTGGTCAATGTAATATCAAAAGTTGTATTAAGTTAATTGATGTGTTATAATGTTTAATAATAAAAAGACCTAAAATAAATACTTAAAATTTACTGTAAGAAAAATACTTCAAAAACTCAAAAGTATTCCTGCTAAATTATTACAATTTTTAATTTGACTAATCACAGGATAGCTAATCAGATTAATCATGTTCAGAATTAAACATTATTATTCAAGTCGTCATTTTTAATCAGATTAATCATGATCAGAATTAAACATTATTATTCAAGACAAAGTCATCAAATCACATAAAAACATCTAGAGTTTTTCATGCAGCTTTGATACTGAAATGTTTAAGATAAGATTTAAGATTGAGGGATAAAGATTTTTGTAAATATCTGGATGTTTACAAGACTTCTGAGACATTATTATTAGAAGGTTTCATACACTGACCCACTTAATATTTGGTGGACTTCTGTTACAGCAGTAACCAGGGCCAGTGTAAATGGTTGATGTAACCTGACTCTAGTCTAACAACAAGTTGGGATCTGTTTTCAATCCCTCTGCAAACTCCAAATAAATCACCGGTTCAGATTAATAATGAAAATTGACGCCTGGGGAACAAAAAAAAAAGACTGTTTAATGACTGTAAATATTTGTGTCAGTGAGAGAGGCAGGGTTTGAGCCCCGCTGTTCAAACTGAACGTCACTAATGTCTCCTCTAGTAAATCAACTCGGATTAATTACCGTGTTTCATTTGTCTCTGAGTTTGTGGAGTGGATTTTAAACACTCTGTGCTTTGGGCTGTGTTCTAATGATCGGTTGCTGCTTCCTCTTCGGGGAACAGGTTGGTAGACATTAGGGTGTTAATTATTGTATTACTGTGGTACTGTAGTGGTTATTATACTACACCAAAGGATGGTGGATATTAAATGTATTATTTGTAAAATTGTGAAAAAACTAAACATGTGCCAATAACTCAAAATACAAAAAGAAGAAACGTGAGTTTTCTGTTGCAGCCAGTTACATGATGAGACATGTCAAAGAATACTGTATAGATCAGGGTGTCAAAGCTGCATATAACCTCATCAGATGTCAAGTGGGCCGGAAACATACAATTATAACCTAATTAGCTGTGAATGACAATAAGTCCATGTTTTCCCCCTTTGTTTTCATGCAAAGAAGTACAAGTATATTCGACAGTATTACAATTTCTTCATATTTAATAAAATGTTTAATTACAAAAATATCCTGAACATTAAGTGTTTGTTTATTTTTTTTTATTTGTATTTTTAAAATGTAGGCCAGATTGAACAGCCTAGTGGGCCGGTTTTTGCCCACGGGCCGTATATTTTACACCCTGGTATAGATAGATCACAGTACATCTGTGTACATTATTCTCAATTTAGATAAAAACTGTGATTTTTTTTCAGAATATCCTATGGTTCAATTCAAGAATTCCACTGTATTATATATATATGATATATATGCAGCCATCACCTGGTGTCAGCATTGACGTAGTAGATAATGGACAGATGGAGGCTGACTGTAATGTATGATACAAATTTAAATCACCAGCGGCTGTGGCACCTCCTGCGCTGAAACATATTTGAGCTTGTTTTAAACAATACAGCTGTCAGACGCATGCGGTGACCAATCACATTCGCCCTCACACTTTCACCTTGAATGGGTTAGAAAAGTCACTGAATGCTGTCAACAGCTGAGCTTCAGGGTGTTTTTCACCTGCCAGTCAAAAAGTGTTGTTCCAAGAACCAGACCTTTAACTCTGCTCAGTCTCAGGTAAAGAAAATGACAGTGTTATTAAAATGTATATCAGCATAAGACTTTTTTCTGTAAATTGTACTTTTTTTTCCTGTTTGCATTTCAGCAGTTCAAAAGCACGGCGATCGTAGAGCTGGTCAAATTAAGAACAGATCATTTATAGCTTTGTTTCTGTGATTCAGACCTGATTAAATTAATTTAAATTAAAACAACCTGATACTGTCTTCTTTATTGTAGGTGTTAATGGTTTGTAAACAGGTTTTTACCAACACTGTTGTATGTGGCGTGTCATGTACACAGCTATCATTAAGGTGAACATTATTTTCTTACCTTATTCTTGTCAAATTTAGCGAGGACTTGAAGGAGCTTTGTCATCTTTACATTTGTTTCCTCCTCAAGAAAAACAATCCAGGAAGAGTTTTTGCCAAAGGAGTGGGATAACCTGGAAACACAAGGGAAAAATAAAGTATAATTAAAAAACAGGGTCGTTACCTCAGAACTCAAACTCGACGAAAATGCAGTCTTTTCATGATATACAGTCCAGTCTGTCACACTGACGGACCGTTCCCTATACAGCAGTTATTTAAAAAAAAAAAAAAATGGACAGGACTCAAAAATGTACACAAAAATACTGCTGAAATGTATATTATTCCAGTCCTATAAATACAAATGTATGTAGAACCATGGCCAAAAACTCAAATAATTTATTTTTAATTTTTTACAAAGCATTTTTATGTTTGACGTTTGTCAATTCTTTTTATGGTTGTAACCTATAAACCTGTTAGTTACTGAAAAGTCATTCTAGAGAACAGGAAATCTCGACAGTACCCCGACAGTCACATCTGCTCAGAGGAGAGGAAGAGCTGCACCCGCGGGGGTGAGGGCAGGGGTGAGCACACAACTCTGCCCAAACCAGGACCATAACAAAATGGTTCATTATGTATAGTATGCTTTCAATAATGTTTATTCTTGAACTAAAGGGACATTTATACTAATTTCATCAAGAGTAATAATTAGAAACATTGGTCTTCTGAGGAAGCTGTGACATTGAATTCTCCTCATTAAACTCTTCAGACCATTAGGTGACAGCTGTAATTGGTTTACTGTTCCAGCTGTAATTGGTTTACTGTTCCAGTAAGTAGCAGAACAGGAAAGCATTTATTCTGATTTAAGAAAAATCAATACCAGTGATTGTGATAGTAATTGACTCTGAGTGATGTGTCACCTCCAAACCTCAGTAAACTAATAGTCCTAAATCGCCCTCATGTTTCACCGCGGCACGACGTCATGTTTAATCACATTGGACCTGATAGAGACGAACCACTTACTCAGGCAGCAGCGGAAGGATGCTCCAGTCTCCCTCATTATCTGATAAAGTATGAAGACACGAAACCACCGGTGGTCTCTGAAAGAAATGCCAGACAAAGCAGAAAACTTTTTTTATTCACTGTTCATTAGCAGCAAGACGACCCCTGAGACAATTAGAGCGGAGCCAGAGATAAAAAAAAAACAAAAAACCTGGGGCTGGAAAACACTTTGTATCTCAGGGTCTATGGTTGAATCAATACAAATGAATTGGCTTGTTCTACTGTTCAATACACACACACACACACACACACACACACAGATGATAATTGTTACCCACATGCTGAAGGTCTGTGTGATCGATTGGAACAAATGATACACATGAAAACGACTCGTCCTCCAGGCTGTGGAGCGTGGTCGACTCCATGACTGCCTTGTCACTCTGACATGATACAGTACTGTATTATTACCCTCTGGAAAATACTCCGGTGATTAACACAGGCCCTTTAGTAGTGACATCAGGGTGGGAAGCACCCTCAACACAACAGTCCTGCCAAGGTCAGGATTTAAACCGACAGCCCTCAGATTACAAGGCCAAGCCTTTAACCGCACAGAGAACAAGGTGATGTTTCTGCACTTAATTCAATTCTGTATCACTTTGGTTATGATGATGTGATGAAATCTGTCCAGTTTACAAACTAACAAGATTTGTGTTTTGCATATAGGTAAACATTTCAGTTGCTACAAACCATGTGAAATAGAACCACCTTGTATTTGTATTTGTAAGGCAGCAGTTTGTTTTCACACTTCAGAATCCATCTATGATCATTGCGTTTCAGGTCAGGTACTCGTCGACGACAAGCTAGAAAAGACAACTGTGAAAGGCTTATCCAGATTTGCAGAACTGCATGCTCAGCAGAGCTCGCCCTCGTTGCCATTGTTGCTACCATATATGGTCAAGTTAAGAACAGTTGGTTAAGAAGAAGTTAAGAACAGGTAAGATGTGTTGGATAATTAAAGACTTTTTATGACTATGACAGAGTTGACCCTTTTTTACATGGTTGATAAATGAGAAGCTTGGTGAAAAAAACAAACAAAAAAAAAACCCAAAAACAAAATACAGTTAATGTATGGATGAATCACTGCCAGAAATCACCCAAAAAATGTGTGTAAAGATACTACAAACAAAAAAAAAATTGTTGTAATTTAAGTTTTTGTTGTAATTATAACCATAATGTATTCAGTGTCAGACCTCGGTTTTTTAGAAACGTGGACGACTTTAAGGCACAGACATTAACATACAGTGTGTGTTTTATTATTTAATACACCGGAGGATGTGGGCTGTTTGTTCCACACTTGATTAAACATTTAGAGACATTGACACTGAAAACATGCGCAGCAGAATTCCAGGACATAAACAGTGAACAAACTCTCCACCAAACACACACCAAAAAAGAGTTTCAGCAAAAAAGAACAGAGAATGAGGTGTGTGTCTGCGTGTGTGTGTGTGTGAGAGGGAATGATGCGAAAGAGACAGTCAGGGTCTCACAATGCAAGGTAAACAAAGCAGCGAAGCGTTAAGACCCCGTGGCTTATTACTGCACAGTCCACTCATCATGCAGGAAGTCAGGGGGAACGGTCTCCTTGGAGATCTCCAGTTAAAGTCCAGCCTGTTGGACACCATCTTTATTTTACAGTCCCTGTTAGAAGGACATGGACTGGGAGTGAGTGAAATTAAAATTCTAACAGTATAATAACACAGTCTGTGTTTATGTTACTGATACCAAACCCTGTCTAACTGGTCAGTTAGTCACACTGCGTACAGCTGCGTGACTGTACAGCTGCATGTTCTTGTTGTTTATACAAAAAACTCGGATCAGTAATCTGAAAAGTAATTCTTCTGCCACGGCAGGAAATGCTGTCCCTGGTCTGTGGAACAGCTTTATCTATTTGATGGTCATTATACACAGACATCATACACACAACAAAACTTCCACCCTCTGCATTTCAAACATCAGAGTTATTTTTTGGTATCTGTGAGCGCCCCCTGCGGTGTGCAAGCGTCCACTAGGGGGTACGTGAGATAAAAAACGTGAAGGCGGTTTGGAATGGGGTTTTTTAAGTGGGATTTTTCTACATAATAAAGACATGTAAATAAACATAAAAGCTGACATTTGAATTATTACTTTTTAAGTGGGATTTTTCTACATAATAGCTGACATTTGATAAACATAAAAGCTGACATTTGAATTAGTATAATGTAGGCTATACAGTATATCTGGTCATTCAGCGTGATGTCTTTATAAGAAAGCTTTTTTTTTTGAAGCTTTGGAGAATTGGTGGTGGATCAACCCAAATGGGATAAAGAAGGGGGTAAAAATAAAAATTTTATTTGCACAAATGAAGTAAATAAGGCAGTAATTTGCTCCTTTTGTGTTTTCGACAGGATTATGAATTGAGGGCAATAACAAACAGCTGCATGTGTGCACTGTTTAAAAATGATCTTCAATTATCATAAAATGGCGCCAACTGTTGCAAAATGAATTTGAATGGTGGAACACGGCTCTACTTCTTAATTATTATATTCAGCCTGACTGGCCACAGGCCAGATTATTTTGCTCTAATGAAGATGTTCTCAATACTACAGTTCTACTGCAGTACGTCTGTTGGCATCTTTGTTACACACCTATACAGTCAGCACACTCGCCACTTCTTTTCAGACATTACCTAAAGTCAAGGTTTTGTGCTGATTGTGTGAAGACAACTTTCCTCAACCACCAGACTGGTCTTAAATCTTTCCAACAGGCTGTCAACCGACGAGGACTGTCCCTGATTACAAGTCTGGACTGGACTGGGTTTTTTTTTTTTTGTCTCATGCAACAGATATTAAAGTACCAGACCGGAGTCAGAAATTCAAACACAGCAGGATACAATATTTATGGAGACTGTCTAATCTGCTGGGGCTAATAATAATAATAATAATAATAATAATAATAATAATAATAATAGTGTCCAAAAAATGCAGTTAAAAACAAATATGAACTCAGTGTCATCACATCTTTCTGAAAGCAAAAATGCCGTCATAGCCTTTCTGTAAATACACAGAACCTAAATACGACAGGTCGCCCAGCCAGGGACCACGACCTGGACTTTGACCCAACCACAAATAGATGCAAAAAAGTAATCTTAGTTACTGTATGTTTACCACAATAATAAGTGTTTTTTACGGTAAAGTATGCAACAAAAAAGTCCTCTAATTTTAAAGTCACAGCCTTTTCACTTATACAGTAACACGTTTCAGTAACACTTGACGTTTGATGAATGTTAGCCATCAACAGAATTCAAAGCAGGACACTGTTATATAGTGCCTTCTAACGTCTGCTGTGTGAACAATTACCGGTTATAAATTATCTGCTGAAATACATGCATGCTATTAGAGGGGCTGGAACAGCACATTTGCATATTGTGTTTTTAATTGGCTGCTGCTCATTCTCTACTTTAGAGCACTCCAGGCTAACTCTCTCTGAAATAATAATTGAAAAACAAAATGGTTTACATAGTTTATTATTTTTTCCTGCATTTAAAAGAGGAAAATAGATGATCTGGGTGAGAAACTTTTACTGAAAATGTTGAATCACCTTTAACTTATGGCTAAACCTCACAGGGTGAGGTACAAGACAGATAAAGATGAATAATATGTTGGACAATGAGCCAACATGTAGGTTGTTTAATATTTCTATTTTAAATGACAGGTATATAACCTAAAACATACTAATTGTTAGTTTGAAATGTACCAGAACTTTCTTCTTTTCAAAGTCAGACTTTGATGGTTTTCTGGATTGGACCTTGATCTACGGTTCACAGTTTTCCCGGAGGTTTTCACCGAGCTCCTTTTTCAGACCTCAGTAAGATTCACTACAGTTCTTTACGGCTCTTCAGTGATATTATGCTCCAGGTTATTATGTTGGAAGAAAAACAAGAGAACAAGATCAAGGTCTGCAACTGATTGCTTCAGATTTTCTTCTTGTCTACCCAGGCTCCAGCTTTGAGAATGGTAACATTCCTCTTTCTTTTTTGTCTGAACCAAGATCACACAGTTTTGACCAGAAAAAAAAATCAAATTTTGTCTCATCTGAAAAACACAATTTCCACAATTGCCTCTATTAAGCCCAGATTTTAGCGATTGCTAAATCAGGGTTTTTTCAAAAACCTAATAACAACATTTCCCCAAATTACAAAATATGTTTTTTGTATCTGTACACAGGTTTTAATGTGTTTTGCCAATTGCCAAAAAAAGGGATTTTGTTGGTACATCTAAGGTTCGACTCTTACCTCTGTGATGCCATGTGCCTGCTTTAGTAAATCTGTTCTCTGTCTTTCTGCCTGCATCACATGGAAGGCGTTGCTCTGACTCTGGATGATGAAAACAACCTCGTGCAGGTCTGGAAGAAAAAAAAAATAGAACAGATTTGAAAATCCTCGACCACTGTGGAATTGATGAACGTCCCAGTCCGTGACCTTCAGAAAGCGTGTCAGGATAGGAGCAGCGGTCGGTGATAAAAACATGCGTATCAAGGGGTCATTCAGCTAACAGAGAGGGCTTATGTAAATGTCAGGGCTTTTACTGTCCTACTTAATGAAATATTAAAAGTCAGTGGGGGTGTTCATCGTTGACTTCTTCGTGAACATCTGTCTGAGCAGGGAAACAGCCATTCTTAGACTTATTACTATTTGCAAAAGTCAAGGTTGACAAGAAAAACTGCCACTTAAAATCTCAGGACAGGTTTAGATCCAGTCTTTGTCATTGAACCTGCCGGAGCTGCAGTTCATCCTAATGTAAAATCCATTTATGGAGCTGTAATAGTGACACAGCTCAGTGGAGAATGACACACACATTTCCTATAAACCCTGAAGCTCTCACGGCCAGTACAATAAAAACTGCACCAGAGGGGGGAGAAATAAAAAGTTAATAAAAAAAAAATGCATGTCTTTGTCTGTACAACAACACGTGACCTTCCTCAGATGTACCTAAAAGGCACACGTTGAAAGAGCTACAAGCTAAACGCTAATGATGTGAATGTGTAAAGGATAAACCAAAGCCGGAGTTTCTGGTTGAACTTCACTGACAGTACATTAAAGTCAGACACTCACAGGCCCACTGACCATCTGTGGTCCACTCGTGGAGAAGGTGAATTCCTTTCACAAGTCAACTTTCACAGGCTCAGGATTTTACCCACTCTCAAAACTGCTGTGGGCTTTTGAGGCATCTAATGACTTTCTACCCTGACTCCACAGATCCTCAGGGGGTTTTACCAAGTCATTACAGAGACTCTGCAGAAAAGTTTCTTCAACATCCACTAATGGAGCTGAACTGCAAAGCTATAGAGAGAGCAGTGGACACAGCCCATCCTGTTACTCCAGTCTGCAGGAATCCTTACATAAAGGGGCTTCAAAAAGACCCCAGGAATCATCAAAAGCATCCTGTTACTCCAGTCTGCAGGAATCTTTACATAAAGGGGCTTCCAAAAAGTCCCCAGGAAAAAAGTAGCAAATACAACAAGATCTAACATGTAAAAAGATAGCTAGAGCAGTTTCACTAATTCACATCTCAACGTTCACAATAAAATCAAATTTAGTTTTGACTGTGAGTATATATTTTATTTGTCCCATTCATTAAACCTGAGAAACCCAGAAAAAACCCAAATTTCATATTCAGATTCTTCCAGGGAGTGTTTCTTGTTAGTTTGAGCTCAGAAGAAAAATAACTGACTCTGAACCAAATATATATTTAAACTCGTCACTTGAGAACATCCACAAGAAAACAAAAGTCAAAGTTTTGTACTAACAAGAAGTCACTGCTTCCACATCTATAATCTCCAGTTAGAATAGAACAAATGACATTTTTAACATGACAATATTAATGCTCTTCAATCAACAAACTCTAATAAACGGACCTCTGACTCGTGTGCATCCATTCTGCGTCAGCGTGTGGCATTGGTTGTTTCACACACTGTAACACTGGGTGAAGCACTTGACTGATGTTTCTGCGATTCGGCAATAATTAAAAGCATCAGTGACCAACAGGAAATCCACAAGGGCATTTTTCTCTCCCTCATTGTGAGGAAACTGTGTTCTCCACCACAACGGAGAGAAAAAAAACAAACACACAACCTAATTAAGAGTGAATTTACTCACTGGCCTCCACATTAATGGGTATTGATTAATCATCAAACAAGGAGTGAAAAAGGAAAAGAGAAACACAGCGACTGTGCCCTTCTTCCATCACCTCCATCATCCCGGTGTCCTTTTCTTTGAGGTAACAATCACCTCAAAGCACTCCCCTGGGCCTCGTTAGAGAGATCGATGCGTCTACATTTATTTAATTATTCCACAAAGATTTGAAACAATGTCCTTCTGCACTGAACTTTTTTTCCATGGTAACTTTGAACTGTTGAGCAGCTCTGCAGGCGGAGAAAATACTAAACGTAAAACACTTCAGTTTTATGAAGAATTACACCGACCGTCTACAAACTTGATTAAAGAAGTAACAAAATGGAGATGGAACTTTCTGGATGAAAGATATGCTCTAACGAATGAAATATAGTCAGTGAAAATATTCAATAAATTAAATATAAAAGAGCTGTTATGAAAGCAGTTAATTGTGTCAAAACACCTAGAAATATAATCTCATTGTGCTCAATTACTTGGACATAATGCCATGTCTCTAACATCTATTCTAATGTTTGAGTTATAAAGGAAAGACAGTGACGTCTCAAAGGCAAAACCCCGCTCCCCTCGGCACAAAAGAGTTTATTTATTTGAAGCTGATGAAAGCTAACAGCTGCAGCAGCCGAGTGCCTGTTCATTTTTTCTCCTCCTTCCTTTGGTTATTCACAAGATGCCACTCCGTACAAAAAAGGACGTTTTGGCCTTGAAAAATTGGTCGAAATGAAAAGAGGAGAATTCGGGCTCATCTCTCTGATCTCGAGTTTTTAAGGACATCAACATCTGGTCTGTGGAAAACTGGTGAACAAAGAACGAGTTTTGTGGAGACTCAGACTGAAAGACCTCGTAAATATTGAAAACAAAAATAGAAAAAAAAAAAGATTGCCAAGCTATAATAGATGTACATCAAGGCATGTGAATAATTAAGGATGCTGCAGTCAGACTCTAGAACTCTCACCACGGTCCTGAATTTTCCAGCTGCCGTCCTCACTGACACAGACCACTTCAACACTTCCTTACAGTTGACTCTCAGACACATCTGCAGCCATGGTATGTCCTCACTGACACAGACCACTTCAACACCCTCAGACACATCTGCAGCCATGGTATGATTTTATCACACGCCAATGTTTGACCACACACCCTTGTTGGTCAATGTTGGTCAGGGTTCGTCAGGCCGCAAAGTCAAACACACACAGTTTAACAAATAACAGCAGTTAAAACCACAGCAACAACCACAGATGAGGAGTATTAAGTTCGTCAGGCCGCAAAGTCAAACACACAAAAACCACAGCAACAACCACAGATTTTAATTAATTCTTCACCTTATTATTAAATTAAAATGGGGAAACAGCAGTTTATCGACTTCAATAATATTAGTGTTAACTAGTGTTCATTAGGAGACTGTTCTGATAATGTTAACAGACCGCAGGTGTGAAGGAGAGTGTGAACGGCCGACTGTCTCTATATGTGGCCTCTGCCATGGACTGACAAACTACCCAGGGTGCACTCTGCACTCACAGGTTTACAGCTGAGAAGGGAATAAGTGGTAGATGATGGATGGGTGAATGGATGGTCGTCATAACCTGGAATAACTCTCAACAGGAGAGGTGCTGAGAAGAAGCTCATTTTCTGAGACCTATTTTCTTAGGGACTGTCTTGGATAACTTCTGTTCTTTTTCCTGAACTTTACAACTTAAGCCAGCCACCGGGCAGCGCTGTCCTGAACTTCCTGTAAACGCATCAGTTTCCCCCCAACAAATATCCTGAACTAACACCAAGTAAAGTCATATTTATAATTAATTTGGCCATCATCACTTGAACCTTATAAATGTCCTCCCATGTTGCGCCCCGCCTGTCATGCCTCTGACAGACGGACTCTTAAAAAGAGAGAAACTTTAACCAATCAAGTACGAGTATAAACCTCTTAAAGGCAGATCCAGAGCTTTCATCGCCAACAGATTAAAAACTGAAAATGTCAATAGTTCTTTTCCGTGGCAGGTCTGTGCCACCATCCAGAGCCTGATTTCACCGGTGTACAACCAGCCACACTCTGCTGACTCACATCATCAAACTCCCAGACTCTAGGACCAGTCAGAATCAGCCTTTACTCCACACCTTCTCTCTCTCCCTGCAACCAAACAGAATCGTCTTGCAGTTTTTTGATCAAACTAACCATGACCAGTCAGCACAGGGATTTAACAGCCAATATATTGTACCTTCATCATCAAGTCTAAATTAAATATGGGCACATTTTTTGTACCATTGAAAGTCTGATTTATTCACATAAAAATAATTTACCTCCCCGTGTGCAATCACTGAGTGTGGAACAGGCCTGTATGTCATGCAGCCAGCAATGATTTCCTATCAGCCTTATTCTCATATTAATACAAGCTTATGATTAGCTCACAGAAGATCAATGGGGAACAGGGTGTATTTAACTTCCTGCTCGCTGCTGTAAAGGTCAGTGTCATAAAACACAGAGAGAACAGAACGAGAGCGTCGGATGAGGACGAAGAGCAGCAGAGAAAAGGAGACGTACGTGTGTTTCAACATGTGTTAGCACTGATGCGTTTACTATATTAGGCATTTTTGGGGCAAACCTATTTGTTAGGGATGGAAAATAATGTTATTTTAAAGGTAATTTAAAAGAAAATATATATTAGTTCTAAACTCCAGAGCTATAAGAGTGTTTTAAGACTAGGTTGAATTGTTGCTGTACTGCTGTGGAATGTATTTCAGAGCATTGAGTTTAGTGGTGGGAAATGTTAGCATTTATATCACATTTAATGTCTCTAATTTGGCTAAAATGGACAAGAATATGTATTTCAAAATATATACAGTACATATATAAATATAGAAAAAAATATTTTACAACAAGTTGGCTTTCAAAGTCGACCACAAGGGTTCTCTTGACAATAAGTCTGAGATGAACTAAAGTTGTTGGTCCGTTTGGCAACTGCGTTAAACAATTAGTTTAACACTAGCAAATTTAAACCAAACCGTTTAATAATATTCATATTGTTGGGCAGCCAGCCTATAAAAGAAATGAAAGTAATTTATTGGAGATTGTGTGATGTGGGTGTATGAAGATAGATACCGAAATAGAGAAAAACTATTTCTCAGCTCTAACAAATACTCATTAAAATTCTCCCCACATAGAAACAAAAAAATAACATGAAAGCTCCAACACATTATAGACGGGGTGAGAAGAATAACCTGTGATAATTAGACGTTCTCTACAGTTCATGACTCTGTGGAAAAAGGTGCTGAAGTCTAATGAGCTGAAGGCGACCCCAAAAACCTCAGTTAGCATCAATTATTCAGGAAGTTAAAGCGATTAATATTAACAGCGTTGGCTACTGTAGCACTTAATACACACTGGTTTTATAGAATTGTTTTTTGTAATTGGTCTGTAGTTATTTTTTTTATCTGCACTGATATAATTTCATAGTATAAAGTCCAAAAAAGGAAACCTCTACCAGAACCTTTCAGTTTTGGTTCACTAAAATAACTCAATTCTACTTGAGAAATGAAATCACAAAGAAAAAAAAAGTCTGGGACAGAGACAAAGACTAACATCAAAATGAATAATGCACATGTGTTATCTGATCACACTTGGGTGGGAACTGTATAATGAAGCCAGTGTAGCCCCAGTAAAACCAATGCACACACACAGGGGGTGAATGTGAACTAGTTCTCAGCCTTCTGGTTGAAAAATCACCTGATAGATGGAATAGTCCACATGGCAGTGTTTTTTACTACACATTATTCTAAAAGAGAGCATTTTTTATCAGAGCTGGAATCCCTGCGTAGTAAAGGTACCTCTCCTCTCACTGCGTCTCCTTTATGATGTCAGCAAAAGTCTATTTCTGAGTCACTTTTTTATTATGTCTACAAACAATGACCGTACTGCTCTACTGTGTCAAAGGCAGTGGCCCAACGCAGGCTTTTTCACCGATAGCTATCTATTTATACTTCTTCTTGTGTGCTGTGTTGCCAAAGGAAGGCATAATGAGTTTTTTCTTGTACGTCTGCATTGACCCAGTTGAATGAACAACAAGAAAAGGTCCTAAACAGTGTCTCTACAGTCCTTAGACGGCTGCAGGAAATCTCAAAGGCCGGTGGCTGTATGAGTTCTCTCAAGCAATAACAGCAAATAAATGATCTTTTTTTTTTATTTTCTCTAGTTATGATTCCTGGCTGCTGTTGAATCATCGCAGACGGAGGCTGGTTTGTGTCCTGAGTGGCTCTGAAGATGTGGATTCCTGAAAGGAGACTTCAGACAAAGCTTCTTTTACAAACTTTATTTTGAAGCATTTGCTATTAAGATTCCACGCCTTATCAAATGATTACATCTGCTAATCCTGCTAGTGCGTAGTTCTTCAACAACGGAACGTTCCCCAGAAATAATTCATCTGGATGAATCACTGATTTAATTCCAAACACAAAAGACTTTTGCTTTTTGATTCAGTCTAAGGCATTTTATATACCCACTGTGTGGTGTCTTCAATCACAGAGAAGCTTTTCTGCATTATAACTAAGTTTTCTACCCACAGTTCAAAACACAACTGCAAATGTCTTATTGATTTATATGTTGTCATACGGTCACATGATTAACTGGCCACTTGTCCAGGGAGGACTTTTTACTACTGACTAAACAGACTGACAGACTGACACACAGGATAAACATTCAGTTTGGGTTACAAGAAGAATTTATATCCAGTAACTTCATAATCTTACACTTACACATATTCAAGACATTAAAGGGTGTTTGTGTCTTGAGTTATAAATCATATTTTTTACACATTATATATATGTATATATATATGTATATCTATGGCCAACAGGAGAGGTAGTTTTAGCAGCTTAAACAAGTTTGTTTTCAGAAAAACAATTACCATAATTACCAACTCCTAATTAACTTTAAATAAATCCAAATCCAGACTTACCCAGTTGATTGCTGTGGATGACATGACTACCATCTTGGCTCTGAAAAAAAAAAACAGTGACAGAGAACGGGAGTGAGAGGGTGATACAAAATCTGGGAAAACAAAGACGACAGAAAAGTATTTTTTTTTTGTTTTAGTGTAAAATGTAGACAGTGGTTGGTGAGCAGACCCTGAGTTACAGCTAAACATTACTGAGACGTCCCTGATGATCGTGACCTCTAATTAACACTGAGTAGAATGCGTGTAAACTTATGTGAGTTATTAAAGGACATGATTAGCCCTGCTGGTCCTTCGAGTGGACACTTCAAGCTCTGATCTTCTAGATCAATTACATCTTTGAACATTATTCTATCTTCTGAGTTGTTGAGGCTCACAGACCGACCACGGCGTGGCCAGTTAATCAGTCACAAGTGACGCATACGTTGAAGAGCTGACTTTTACCTCCTGTCCTTACAAAGGAAATAAATCAGTCCCAGGAGAAAAAAGAAAGTGTGAATTCCAACTGTTTTCCAAAGCTGGAGAGCCAGAGTGGCAGAGCATTAACAGATGATGACAAGTGGAAGCCTTTTCTTTGATTTACGACTTTCTCTCGACTAAGTTACTTCTTTGGCTAGCCGTTCCCACCTCCAGAAAGATGAACCTAGTCATAAATTTACTCTGTGCTCAGTGTCACAGTCGGGGATATGAAATAATGACTTTTCTTTTTTTTTTTTACTGAGGCACATTGTAAATCCCCAGTAAATCTGTTCAGAAGAGAATTGATTGCATTTCTTGTCATTGAACCATGTTATTATTTTGGTCTTAATGACTTTAACAATTGGCTATGCTTAATTTCTAGGCAAAATTTGCTTTTTTGGATTTATTTTGTTTCAAAATTTCTGCCCCATAGTTTTTTTCACTTTATTTTTTTTAGTTTTTTATTATCTTAAATGTTTTTAGAATCTTAGAATGTTTTGGACTTCTTTACTTTGGTCAGTGTAGCTATTTGTAAGAGAAATCGTATTTGCCCTGAGCTAATTTCGGAGAACTCTAAGCCATGTCTCAATTTACTTAAAATTTTTTAAATCTTTAGCTAGGTTTTAGCTTCATCATAGCTATCTTTTTTACAGTTAAATTACCTAGTCTAACTACTGGGTTTTTGAGCTACAATTTATATTCAGCTATTTTGTGGCTTACTTTAGCTCACTCTTGTACTTCTACTAATTTAGCCGTTTTTTTTTTCAGCCAACATATTCCCTTAAGCGTATGTTTTTAAAGCAACTTCTTGCCTTCGTTTTTTTTTTCAGTTACATTTAGCCAGCAGTTATGTAACAATGTAATGATGTGCTAAACAGGCCAAGCTACATTTTTTAATAAGTTCAAAACATTTTTCAGATTTGCTAAAAACAACAGTCAGGAAAATGTCTTGGTGAAAAAAAAACCTCAGTGATATAAAAAAGGATCTGGTGATGTGTTGCTAATGAGAAATACACTGTCTACATATTAATGTCTCATTTAATCTGAAGAGATAAAACATTATTAAACTTAGTTAATTTACCAATTTTCTACTCCCGTCTCATTCCAGTTTTAAATGCCAACTTCTACAAGTTTAATGACAAGCATCGAGCAAAGCACATTATCCTAATGTGAAAATAATAGCAGATTTTCACTGAATATAAAACAAAATGTAGTGTGAATAATTTGTTATTGGAACACTCGATCTCTTATTATTCCACATGATCAAAGAGAGAGGTAAATATATGCGAAGGCAGGCAAAAATCATATCAGTGGAAGAAGACATCAGCTTAATGGGACTCAATGCCATTAGTAATGCTCACAAGGTTTCTGTCTCATCTTATCGCACACTACGTCTGTGTAATCACTCTCTCAGTGGAGGAGAGAAAGCACCGGAAGGGCAAAAACAGGCAGCGTAACATCATGTTACGGACAGGAGAGAGAACTGCTGAAAATCAGTACGTTATAATTATATATGAATAAAACCTGTCTATAAATTTTTTTTTTAAACCAAAATATACACAATTTCAGATGTTAATAAACAAAGCAGGCGACAGGTTCAGATTGGATTTGTCCAAAAGTGATCCAGTGCCTACTGATATATTTATTTATTATTACTTTTTTAAATCTCTGAATATGTCGATTTATCTGCTTTTCTTATAATGTGATTGTAGTTTTAAAAAATACTTCCAAATTTTTTTTTTGAAAACAAAAAAACAAAAAAAAAAAAACCAAATGGACAGAAGTCATTGCTTTTGGCAAGCCATAAAAATCCACGTTAACAGAAACGTGAGACTGTCGGATGAAAATAGAAAAAAAAATACTTGAACTCTGGTCCACTGTTCTTAGCACAGACCTGGTCACGTACATACAGAGCTGTACTCTGTGAATGAGCCTTTAATGCTATGATCATCATAACTGTACAACTAATATGTAAAGTGAATTTCGAGGTCTAATAACTTGCACGGCTGTGTTCTACAGTGTTAAAGGTCAGACTGCGTGACTGCCCACTGTAGCAGAAACAACATGAGCCAATTAAGGCATAATGGTCTGAAAATACTTAGGATCGCAAGGATTTTCACTTTATAATTTTTCCTGTTTCTCGTAGGTGTTTTGAAGATCAAGGTACAAGATGTTGTAAAAGTATTTCCTCCTCTACTTTTACAAACATATACAGAGCAGGATTTGTGAGTTTTGAAACTAAATTGCCAATTACATGAGGTGCCATCACGGAATTCTTTTTTCTGTTGTTGCTATGGTGTAACTATGGTGTTGTTGGCTCAGCACTTGCCCTCAGAGATCAGTAGAGGGAGTCGCTCACCCCCGAGGGTGGATGGTTTTTTCTTTATTTTAATGTTTTCCTTTTTTTATTGACCCTTCTACTCCAGTTACTGTTATTGGAGTGGAAAATTATGCAGTATTTTACACACTAATTAATTTATGTTATTTATTTTGGCTCACCCCAGAGATACTTTAATTCAAAAGATGTTTTTGTTTTCTTTTTGTTGAGAGCAAGGGAAAAAACATGTTATGTGGCTTTTGTTCAACAAAAGCATGCACAAAAATATTTTTTTTCCTTTGTTCTTTTTCTTTATTATTTTGTTTTCATCAGCTATTCAGTGTGTGAGAGCACCTAAAAGCAGGAAATCTATTGAAGCGAAGAAATCTGAAAGACACAGGAATTTGGAAAACTTAAATATTTTCTTATTTATGGCGAGTCGTATTGTCAACGCTAAACTGAAGAGCGCCATCGCACATCTGGCTCACATCGCGCAGGCTCAGTGTAATGCATTAAAAGCTTGTGAAAACAGAGAGAAAGTTCCAAATTGAGGCTAAGTGTAAGACATGTAAACATGCTTTAGAAGAGTGTGACTGCGACAGCAGCCTGTTCTGTTAGTGGAGCCACACTCTTTAATATTCTGCAGCAGCCTCCATTTCCAGGCAGGTCCAGCATTATTTTACCTGAAGATGAATTGTTTTCAGCTTTTTTTCAACACAAATAATGTCCTGATCTATTCTATCAGGAGACAATCTGCCTCTCATTAAGAACAAGGACCAGACACCCAATGGTCTGATCTGTGGCAGCTCAGCTTTGACTCCGACTGATGGAAGAATTGTGCCTTTGGTATCTGAACCACTGAAGACAGGCTTTTCTTCTCAACACTTGTGGACGTGCAAAAAACTACCAGAAACATTTACAGCCACTTCATATGAAAGTGATGTCATCAAGGACAGCAGCAGAGACAACACTGTGACATTTATATAAAATTCCACACACACACACACGGCTCAATCCCTGAGGATACAGAGAGGGAACAAACGCTCCACTGATGTGAGGTGACCCGTCAGGTCACGTCACGTCACCATTCAGTTCACTGATGACAGCAGTGAGTCAGCAGGGCAGGAGTTTTCTTGGATTTTGACATGTTAAGGAAAACTGTGAGATGGTTCTAGAAGCTGGCTGTCAGAAATGACTTGGAGCACCTTAAGTACCTGAAGTGTTGAACACTTCATAGTGTGGAGGTTGGTGTCAACTCGAGTGTTGTTTCAAAGACTTTTTTATATGCACTTGAAAACAGAAAAGATGACTGCTTAGCATCAAGGGCAGCAGAGTAAATTAAAGTCCCTTTTTTTCATACCTCCAACTTTCATGACGTAAAAAAAAGGAAGGTCATTTTAACTTTAAGAATTCATTACATCTGGGTTGGATGAGTTAGAAATAAAAAAAGTCTCAGAGTCTCAATGTATCCCTTGTTCTTTGCTAATAGAAACGAAGTGTTGACAGAAGGAAGGCTCTGTTATCCCTGACTGCCTTTTTTAATTTAGTTAATTCAGGTTTATGTGAACAAAAAAAAAACCTTATTCATTTCATTTGTACACTCAGAGAATTGGGTATGATTTATTATAACTTTTTAGATGAGGTTTCTTTTAAAGGCAAAGAAAGAGAACGAGGATTTCACCCAACTTCATTTTGTTATTTCAGTCTTTTAATTATGGTGTAAAGGCGACATCTGACCTGATAATTTTAACAGAAATAGTTCCGTCACACTCTTTTGCTAGATTTGACACAATATTATGACAAAGGGATACAATGAAGAAATCATTTGATTCAAAAAAATAAATATAAAATGAGCTAATTATTCCAGACAAGGCAGTTGATGTACCTTCATACAGTTACTGTAACCTCAAGCTTTGAGCTTCCATTTAGTCCTAATCCACAACCAATCCATCATATAGATTAGTGTCAAAGTGTTGCTGCTCGTCTACCCACACCACCTCTGTTTACCTTCTCCTCGCCCTCTTCCTCTGACCGGCGTCTGTGGAAAATCCTAAAATGCAAAACTGTGCCATACAGATTGTGTAGATTCTTAATCCTGATGATTAGGTCGATGTTTTTCAAATATTATTATTATACTAAAAGCAATTGGAGTGAATGAGTGGCCCAAAGCCAATGCCAAGCTTTGGAATAAATTCTAAAATGAACCATGCCTGGAACTTCAGGTCTTTGTGTTGGTGTTAAAAGCTACTTTTCATACCAAACCTTTTTCTGTAGAGTTATTAACACGTCTTTGTGTATTTCAGATAAAATCCTGCCTCAAATATCAACTGAAATAAACAGACTTACAGATCTCTTTGAAGATTATTTTTTTTTAATCATATCTTATATAGTGCTCATCTCCTCACTCTTCTTTATCCTCTGGGTGTAGAAGATCAAGACACTTCAGCTTACATTAGCAGTCTTGTTCTACACTTGTATTTTAGGCTACTTATCAGGTCTGTGGGCGGTGGATAATCAGGCTGCACTCAGTCCCTCGCCTGTTGCCTCTTCTCCCAGGGGTTCTGGGTTCAAACTGACGCCAGTCGTCAGAGGTTTCAGACCGCCATCAAAGAGAGAAGGTGGCTCGGTGATGCACACAAAAGAGCATCACCGAGCCACAGAGTGTTCAAAGGCAACAACTGAAAAATACAACGGCCCTGTTTACAGCTACCTCCAAGTTGTTCAGCACAGATCAAACAGCACAGGAACCAGAGCAGCGTTTACACTATTGATCAAAGCGGGGGCTTCCCAACACGTTTTCATTATTTGTTTGAAACAGGAAGCAGCAAAACACAACTGTGCCATAAACAGTAGCACAGTTAAACAGTTTACATAATACGTAGGTGTATTTTCAGGTAAATACTTCTGGACGTCTCATGTTTTGCAGCAGATGTAAAAGGCACATGCGTGTATATGATTGTGTATATGATTTTTTCCAAAGTAGCAAAATTTGCTTTTAATCGACAACGTCAGAAATGTACGTTTTAAATTGTTTTATAGTTAATGTGGAGTGTAATTTTAATTTGGAGGATTTTAAAAAGGAACTGACACAGTGCTACATACATAACCTTGGCAGATTGTTGGGGAGTCGATAATCCTCAGTGGAAAGAGCAGTGATTAATTGCTGTATTCAGCCTCTGGTTTATTTTTTGAAAAACTAAACCTAATGAGTTTATTTTAGAGTCTAATCATTTATAAGCACGCACTGCAAAAAAAAAAAAAAAAAGCCTGGATGTAAATAAGTGCCGGGCCTCTCTCCATGACCCTGATAGAAATATCAGGACTCGCCCTAACTAAAGCAGAACACTTTCATGAACTAGAAAGCTGCATTCTTTTCCCATTTGTTAATGCTATTTTTTAACTAAGGGGTGAGGAGGTGAAACAGAGAGAAAAACAAAGTTTTAGCAGTTTTCCTGGGAGTAACAAAGAAGGCTGGTGATTTGAACACAGATTTTGGGTTGAATTTGGGTAATTTCTAAAAGCATCCATGACAAATACATGGCACGCACTGCAGTTCAATTGGTGATGTATGTATTATTATTATTATTATTTTTTGGCCCTGATCAGGTTTAAAAACTGAACAAGGACTTTTTATCTTCTTGTCATAGTGGTTACATTAGAAATAGGTTTGCATAATGATAGTTATGGAGTTTATCATCAAAATAGTACCACAAATTAATCATCATTTCATGTAATGCATTCAGTGCAATGTTTTGACTGTTTTTTTTTTTAGTTATTTCGAAGATCTGAAAGAAATCTCCTTCCAACCAATGGGTTTTTCTTCTGAATGGATGTCATTGACATCTTCTCTGTTCTTAGTCTGACAGGCAGCTGTTCCTTTTTCATTTCTGTGCAGCATGAAAACAAATGGAGCCTCCAGAGTTTTCTGAAGTTAATAGATTTTTATGTTGTTAAAACGATGTTGAGCCTTGCACTCAACAACACTGTTGGTGCAAGGACTTTTTTTTCTACTTTACCAGCACAAAAGTTCTGGTGAAAACAAATATCTCTAGGACACAGTGTTCATGGGAATCCATCGGGGCTATCCAAATGAATGTGTTTTCTTACGATAATTAATTTGTGACACCGATAACATTGAATTTTTTTTAACAAACTTTAACAAATGCGCAAAATGAGACTAGCATTTCTGTTGCTAGTTGGTGTGTCTCTTTAATCCTGAGATGTTTAGCTAACTGTTGCTAATTGTTAGCTAACTGTTGAGATTGGCCTCAGGTCCATTTGGCTCCATTTTTTTTACTAATATGCAGAGTTGGTTCCAGTCTAAGGCGCCTATTGTCATTTTTCAGCACCACCATCTCCAGCAGATGGCAGCCTAGGGCGACTGCCTTTGTGGCCATTGCCAAGAGTAGGGTTTTTTGGTTTTATAATGTACTCTACTTGTAAGGGAACAAAAAAGTAGTTTTTCTATCTATTCTATTAACTTGTGATGAAAATGCAAACAATTATTTTTTTAAAGGAAAAAAAAGCAGCTGACATCAGTAAAAGAAAAAAAAAAGTCAGACAGTAATTTCTCAGTCCTCTAACACTAGCACAAAAAGTCAGACAGTAATTTCTCATTCCTCTAACACTAGTATAAGTGCTGCTGCCAGGAGGCACACTGTCAACATCTCCTCACACCATTAGGAAGTGGAGCAACTCAACATATTAATTATTTATGCTGCTGCAACTGCAGATGTGTTAAAATTGCAGCAGAAATGAATCATTGTGCACTTTAGAAAGTGACGGCGCAAATTAAACTTCTGATCAATCAGTCATCAGAAAGACACGACTGTTGACTTCCACGGCTAATTCAGCTGTTAATTAAGGCTATGATGGAGGAAATGAGGAGTAAACGAAAAACAAGAACTGAAGGAACTGAAGGAACTGAGGCGCAGCGCTGGCGGCTGACTAATGTGTTGACAGGAAATGAGAATTACACAGTTTCCTACCTGTGTGTCTGTTCCTGAGCTAGCAGCAGCAAAGGTCATGAGAACTGTGAGGAAAAAGAGAGGATTACATCACAAGAGGAAGCACATTCATAAAATACAGAAAAAAAAAATTATTAAAAGTAAAATAAGACATCCCAAAATGCAGAAAAATGGAGGGAAGAAAAGAATCCAAAGAAGTTTTGAACGCCTGTCTTGAACAACAACATACATCTTTTTGTTGTCAACTGAACAACAACATACATCTTTTTGTTGTTAAGTTGTCAAAGTGATAGAAAGCTTCTGTAAACTCATGAAGAGAAAGACGAGTTCTCAAATAGCATCGCTTCCTTATGGCCGAGTATTGAAGGTCTGCCACTGCGCTGCACCACACATTTATCAGTTTATAATCGGTGTAGCCCAAAATTCTTTCCAATTATGTTGTCATCGATCGGTGGACAAGAAAATCTTCCCAGAAACATTCACAGGATTCAAATCAATACATCCAAAACAGCAACGCCACTGCAAATAAATGTGTACACCTTCTTTTATTAAACCGTGCTGCCTCTGCTGAAGCTTCACTCCGCTTTAAATCTGACTTTAATTAGGTGATAGAACAGAAGAGCAGTGGGACTTTTTTTCCTTCCGAAGCTCAGCTACAGCCCATTAAAACCTAAAAGCAGCAGAAACTGGGTGTTTTCTGAGAACGTGTCAGCTGAAAAGGCTTCAGTAGAACAATATCAATTAAGAGGGAGTCATATAGATGTGCATAGTGTATTTTATAGCAGGGATACGGTCTGTGTGACTTTCCCTTCATGACCCTGTCTGCAGATTTTTTGGCCAGATATTATTCAGCGCTGCCAGTGAATTATTCAAGGAGCTAAATTAACATCAGGACACTTCTCCATTTAAAGCCTGCAGAAATGCCATGAGCTCAGTGAAAATCTAATTATTTTTTACAACAAGAACGGATGATAAAGATCGCCGCCCCCCCCCAAACCTCCAATCAGTCCAATTTCCTGGAGAAGGCTCAACATGTTCCACAATTGTTTCCAAGTTTCTGGAATAGAAATCGTAGATCCTTAACTAAACAAAATAAATAAGTAACTACTGATTATCAAGGTCAATGTTACGCTGACTCTTCAAAGAGATTCTCCCAGATCTTTGTTCTCCTGCTTCAAAAACTCAATTTCTTTCATGAAAGTGTTAGATGAGAACAGCAGAGAACGAACCTCAGAGAGAGAAACTAATTCAATTATTCAATTTTGTGGAGTTTATTGAAAAGGTAAAAAAAAGATGGCAGGACCTGGACCTGGTTTCATCAGACTGTTTTATGTGTTTCAATGGAAACGTGGAAAATAACTTTGAGAAATAAATGAAGTTTGAGTCAAACAGTTTCAGACTTCAGGGACGTTGAACAAACTGGTATCAACACAAGGAGATTTGGTGAATTATGGAAGAGATCTGACATCCAGTGGCTGTTTTATTAAAATGACAGAAACAACTGACCTGAGGACAGCTGTGTGGACAAACAATTTGAAGAAGCAAATGTCGACAACAGTAAATACAACAGTCTTCAGACTCTCTCCCAATCGACCGCAGCCTGGTCTGTTGGTCAATCATTCACTTTAATATAGTTTTATGTGACCCCATAAATTCTTATGTCTGATCAGCATAATATACATGGGTTAACTAAGATGTTTATACCAACGTTTACCTTTTCTATCCAGGTAAACAGTCTTGCATCACGACCGATGGATCTACTCAAAGTCTACAGAGGGAAAAATGTTGCATGTTTTGAGCTAAGTGGCTAATAATGTTGAGGAAAGCTAAATGTTTAAAACAAATCTGGAAAGAATGAAGAACGAACAAACGAACAAACCACCTGATAAAGGTGATTTATTGGGTTGTTTCTACAGTTGTCACTCCTGCTTAAACATCTGCCTTACATGCAGAGGGTCCTGGGTTTGAGCCCCAGAGGAACCACCCACATGGCACCAAGTCATTGTGGTGTATTCTCAAGAGGGGGTTAATCTAATGTAAATATAATATAAAGTAGCAATGTAATATAAAGTACCTCCATCAGTACCTTCCTTGTTAGGAACAAAACAGCAATACTTTAAAACGAATCCCCTTCAACAAAGAAAAAGAAAATGGCTGAGCAGGTTTACCTGCAGTTTGTAACACAAAACAATTATTTATCAGCTGACTGGCGTCACATCTGATGCTGATGCCTTTCATACATGAAGCTGCTCCAGTGGACATCTGTAAGGACACGTCACTGCACCAGTTTTCTGCCAGTATTAAAAATGCAACAATTGGCCTTAAACAGTGCTTCCTGTGGGACGACATTACGTTCCAGTTCACACTGCATCCTGTTACATGTGCTCAGGCCTCACATCTTTGTTCTTCCTCACCCCTGGAGAGGGGGAGGCAGAGAGTGCGAGGGTTCTACAACATGTCAGGATGCTCCGATGGGAGCTCCTCCATTGTGTCGTTCCCTCAACCTGAATAATCAACCCTGTTGTTTCCCCCTATGTTTGTGATTCAGCCGCACACAGAGGCACTGGTTGGCTTTGATTTGACAGAATGGAAAAACAAAAGAAAAAAAAGATCATTCTACATGAAGGTCCCCAATGGCTCCGCTGACTCTTTTTCAACAAGCTTCTCTATACATCGCTACTGCGTTACAACCTGCTGAATTGGAGCAGAATTGAATGAAAACATGCAATTATTTACATTGTAAAACCCATTCCTCTCAAAAACAACTATAAAAAATGACTACATAAATATTTGTCATGTTTGTCATTGACTGATCTGGGTGAGTTAACACTTGAATGTTTCATTTAATGCAAATACGGACCATATTTAAGGACCTAATGTTGCCTTCAAACTATAAATTTGACCAAATGGTCCTAGTGCCAGTCACACATTGTCCACTCATTCGAACAAATAAATGAAACCAGTGATTATGAAAATTAACTACTGAGACAGTTTGATGCCATTATTTCATTCAAAGCCTCATTTCCTCTGTGAGTCTTTTTTCATCATTTTATCAATTTTTTTTTAGCAAAAGAATTCATCCTTTGTGTTTCACTCTTCTTTTTTACTGCAATTTATTTTTCTCTGGTACATTAAGGAGTCCATCATTATGCACATGACATCTTCACAAATTGACTACACACCTTAAAATGACTGCTGCAGATCTAACACACTCTCAAAGCACAGAGTGATTTAGAAAGATTACCGTCAAAGAGCAGCCTTAAAATACAAAAAAAAAAAAACAAAAAAACACTCTGACTCCTGTCAGGAACAAACACCATGTTATTCATATTTAAAAATGTGCTTCACTTTAGAACCACTGAAACTGCTTAACGCTGCAGTTCAGCATCACCAGTCTGTCACTCCTCGTCTGACTCTGGTGAAGGCGGTTTAAGGTATGGACGGCAGCGAGTGGAAACCTCACTGCATTTATCTGTCAATGGCTCAGCTCCAAGTGAATCAAAGCAACACATTATCAACCGATGATCTGTCACCGTCTGACTCTGGTGAAGGCGGTTTAAGGCATGGACGGCAGCGAGTGGAAACCAACAGAAATACAACTGAAATTAAGGATTCATAATATGGAGGGCTGACAGTGCCAAAATTAAATCAATCAATCAATAAATAACTCCATAAAAGTGTCATTAATTAATTGGAATTGTAACTTGACACATTAACATGTTAATACACGTGTAATTAATTAATTACCAAATTATTGTATGTAAAGACACATGTTTAATTAATTCCTGGTTCTGCATTTAAATACTTAAATGAATTAGCTTCTTAATTAACTTGTCAAACGCACCCATCAAAGTCAGTGGGCGGGGCTAACGCTAATCTAGTCTGATCCATTGGTCTGAAGCAGCGAGACCTGCTGACTCAGAGGTCGACCAACTTTAATAACCTGTACAGATTGATGGACGACTCTCAGAACATCATGGTCAAAAAAAAAATCAAAGCTGGGAGACGGTTTATGCCGGGAGCAGATTTAATTATCACGCACCTGATCAATTTTCTGTGAAACGTCCCACAAACTGCACTCAAGCATGGAGAAAGCACAGCCTTCATTTGGTGTGGTGTCAAATTGAATTTTATCTTTTCTTCCTCATCTACTCACTCACATCAACATCCCAACGCTGCCACTCTGCACATCTTGAAGTTTCCTGCTGGAGCTCTCTTGACGACAGCAGTAGTCAGTGACATCGTGACACATTCAAGTGTCATGAATTCTTCATTAATGACACTTTTTGTTTACTGTATAAGCTGCATATGCGTATTACTAGAGGGTTTCGGGTGTTAAAATGACAAAGACAACGATCACTACGAAACGTTAGCATCACCTGTCACCACGGTGGAGAGAGAGTTACTGAGCAGCCTGAGCCAGAAAGACACTTCCTCCAGAAACCTACAGCTCAAAGCCTTTGCCCTGCAGCAAGGCTCCACACATCGTTGTGACAATGTGTTAAAATTCATTGTAAATTTCTTTTTTTTTTGCAAAATTAAGCAAAATTATGGGATATACAGTGCACATCGTTGTGACAATGTGTTAAAATGCATTCTAAATTGCGATCAAATCAATCTGAAATCAACTGTTCTGAATGACTTACTGTATCTTCTTAACATCAGGTGTGATTAGAACACTGGGTCAAACAGAAGTACGGTGACATTTAAACATCTCATCGTCCGTCTGTTTTGAATGTATCATTGCAGCTCCTTACCAAAATGTATCAGACAAAAGAGTGACAGAGGAGATCTTTGAAAAACAGCAGCGCTTCCACCTTAATGTCATCAGAACTGTCACTCTGTCTACCTCTGGCTGTGCCTTGATGTTCACAGCACAAATATTACTACAGCAGGGAGGAGACAGGATGTTTTGTCAGGAGTCTGATGTCAAACTAACTATCCTTGACCTTTTCTTCTCCTCATCAAACTGGTGAATTATGATGCTAGCCAGACTTCTTTACAGGGGACAGAGTGTTCTGTACCTTTAACTGTGGACGCACTCTCAATGTTTTTCTCTCTAGCACTAAAAAAAGAAGGTAAAAGCTACATGTTGCATCTATTTTCGATAGAAAAACAGAAAAATTGAAATATATTTTTTGACGGACAGACATGACTAAAGGTTATTTTTTTCATTACTTCAAGAGAATCATATTTATTGACCAAGGACACTTTTTTTTTTACATAAAATAGATTCATTACCAGTAGTTTGACTGTTTTAATGATAATAACCATTTAGCCACATTTAATCATTACTAACTATAATAAGTCAAAAATGCAATCAAATTACAATTTACACATTTTGTTCTAGCTGCTGAAAAATCCCAAACACCAACAATTTTGGTTCTAGCTGCTGAAAAATCCCAAACACAAACAATTTTGAGCTTTTTTTTGGGGGGAGGGGGGGTTGCCCTGGAATGTCTGCCTTTTTTAAAGATAGTATTTTGGTGATATCCAGTCCTGGCACAGAACGCAGACTTTCCTTCACAAACCATTTATCTCACTCTGTTCAGGAGGACATTCATGCCTTACACCAGGTCAGTGCAATATTGGTTATTCACTGCAATTTCCTTCAGTCCCCGCAGCAACACATTTACTGTGTGAGCTGCATACCGTCCTGATGGTGTCTGACAATGACACTGTCTGCATCACGCTCTAAATTCAGCAGATATGTTGATGTTGTTGTTTTGTGAAATTGAACAGTCTGCATACAGCAGCACTGGTTACCACTGATGCCTTACAGGAGGAAGGTCACTGGTGTGTGTCCCAGGATCGATGACCTTTCTGTACAAACTGTCTGGGTTTTTCCCCCCACAGTCTGAGAGCTGCACGTTGGTAATTATGCTAATGGACACGATCAATAAAAACAAAGGTAAAAATGTGGAAGCTAATCTGTTTACTGTAATAGTGGCCCAACAATGAACTACTGACCTGTCCTGGGTGCTCCCTGATTATGCCTGATGCAATCCCACTGTGATTGTCTGCAGCCCAGACCGGACCACGATGAGAATTATAAGAAGATCCGCAGACGTAGGGATCTGAGAAACACACCTTAGACCCAAGAACATTTGAGCTGTCAGTCAATTAGAGCCGACTGGAGTAGTTTTTCATTTTTTATTATTCCGCTGCTTATTTCCAATCTCAGGGGCATCTGAAGAGCTGAAGCCAATCCCACCAGACATCAGGTGGAGGCGGGGAACACCCAGAACAATCATCGACTTTTTAGCTGTACCATCCATCTCTTCATTCCCTTCCACTCACCACTGTTTATGTACTAAGCCAGAATTGACCATTTTATTGAAATTGTTCAGTCAATGAAAAACAGACCAGACAATAACCATTAAATAGTATCCTATTTACATATTATATATATATTCTAATATTAGAAGGAGGGCTCATCAGTTAAGGAGCAGTTTGTCTTTAACCCAGCCATCAGGTCCAAGGGACATTATGTTGATTCCAGGCCAAGTTACATGGATATACTTCATCAGTAAGGGCAACTATAATAAAAGAACATTCTGTGAACTACTGTCTGGCAGCCGCAGATGGGGAAAGGCTATGAAAAAGCATTTCTTAATACTGTAAAGTGAATTTAAAAAAAACTCTTAGGAATGGAACCATCATTGTCACTTAGCAGTGAATTGTTAAAGGTATAAATATAACTATGAGCATAACGAGAATAATATAGCAAGTTTGGATGTCTAAAATTAAATATGGATTTTTGGCCAAAGAATCAAAGAAAGTTTGTGTAAAAACTGTAACCAGGTGTGAATTTTATATTATTATTATTATTATTATAACTAGTAGAAATAGACGAGGAAGGACTAATGATTATTATTATTATTATTATAACTACTAGAAATGGACGAGGAAGGACTAATTTATGCAGCCACGCTAACGAACACACCACGACTGAGCGACGGCTCTGGACAGCAGCTGTAGCCCGAGGTCCTGATCAGTCTCGGGGGTTGAATTCACTCCTGCACTCGTACAACGACGAATCCACGGTTGCTAAGGACGAAGAAACCGACAGCTACAGAAACACAGCTGTGTTTCTACACGTCTGTGTGGGAAAAACTCCGATCTAAAACTTATCAGTGTGTGGATCAAACCACATGGCAGAGAGAGGGAGAATCTGCTCCAGCTTCTCCCAGGAAGTGGGAGCGAATCCTGGCTCCTCACTGAAACTCACTCAAAGTGTTTATAAAAACGAACAACTGAGTCTTTTAACACGTTAACAGCGCAGCGATCACAAGCGCGACAGACGCTCCCCGTCCTCACGAACACGAAGTAAATGTTGCCCTTTTAAAATTTCTGCACGAAAAAGTGTTCAGCCGCTGCTGTGGTTCGTATTTTTGTACAAAAGTAAAGTGGGGACTTACAGGCGCAGAGAAAAATCCAACAGCCGGACACTTTGGCGACGTGTGGGTTGTTCCACAGCATCCTGTCTGTCAGAGTCCTGTCAGCGCTGGAGGAGCTGAGCGACAAAGCTCTCGGTTCATGGGCTCTAGGACCGCTGGTAAAAACAAAAGGATCATGCAAAAAAACAAAAGCAGTAAGGGTTTCTCTTCTCCACTGTTCCACAGAGAGCAGGGAGTGGGTCTGAGCTTCTGTGCTCTGGTCTGAGGAGGCAGCGCCGCTCTCTGCTGGAGGCGCATGGACGCCCTCTGGCGGTCACAGGAACTTACTGTGGACAGGAAAAAAGTTTGTCAACATAGATATATATAAAAATATGTCGCGTTGTGTGTAAAAACAAATTAACGGAATAACAACACAGAGCCACAGAGCAGTAGAAAGGTCTGCTGATGTGGTCGGAGTGTGTTTAATCATTAGGGCGTTCTGTAAAAAACACATGCTTAACACAGAGTTCATGATGAAGATGACGGTGAAATGGTAAACCAGTTATTCTACTGTACCTGCTGTTGTGTCAGTCTGCCTTCCTTCTCTACTCTCCCTCATCTCTGTCATTCTACCACATTCAAATTGCTAAAATAAAAAAATAAAAAACTGTAACCAACCCTGATGATTTTTATTAATTTCCATCAAATTTCAAATCTCCCGTTCTGGCAGCTGACACTTCACTACTCTTCTTTCATATTCTGCTTGTAATGAGTGCAGTATCTCTCGATACAGGAACATGATTTGAAAAACCACTAAACTAGCTGAAAAACATAAAAGGGTCCAAAGTTGACCTGATGTGACTGGGCTGGACAGTCGTGAGGGCGTTAAGGTGGCAGATTGGTGACCTTTGATTTCCTGAATACCTCCTTTAACAGGTATAAAAGGTGGTAATCAGAGTAATGTCAGAGGGCAGGATTCAGATTGGAGGTACCCGCTGTACTTTCATCCCTTCCCACAAGAATCCACTAATGGTCAATTTATCTTCAGCCATTAGCAGCAGGGCAGGCTGTGTCGCTCATACTCAGCACTGAGCTTCCACAGATGTAGATTCTTCAGCGAATGTTTGACTGAGCTAAGATTTATAACTTACCATGGTCCAGTCACCTTCAAGGTCAGTCCTTCTCCATCGCTCTCCTCATCCTCACTTCATCTTCTTCTATGAAAACCAACAGACTCTGAGTTCCATTTTCTTATCTTTTCCCCACTGTGCTTTACACACTGATTATCTAACCTTCTCCACCTGTGTGCTGTTAACACCTCCAATGTCTGCCACATATGTCTGACACTCCCATTCCTCTCTGACAGTTCATTTCTCTTCTCATGAGTAGAACCAGCATGACCTTTTCTAGATTTCGTATCATAGAAACCTGGTAATTTGCAACTTTGTCCCACAGCCTTCTTTTTTGGAACTGTTGTTTCTGCCTCTTCATAATGATTAAAACCTTCACCCTCCTTTTTTTGGTAATTTCTTTGCCTCAAGTGTCGAAGATGAAAAAGAAAAGAGAAAATACAAGCAGACGGCAGCATCCTTGATGGACAAACCACAAAGAAGGTAGAAAGACAAAATAGGAGAAAAAAAAGCATTCGTTACTGACTATGCAAATTATAAAGCGTCCAGCTTTTTTTATACCTATTTGCAGTCTGAGGGAACACATTAGACTTACTGCGTGTGTACATTATTTACAGAGGCAATGGCAGCAGTTTCTTCAAACTGCTCTAACAAATACGAATTCAATATTGCAGTATGTAATGTTTGCACAGATAATTTGCAACACAGCCAGTCTCGTGTTTGTGCTCACAGAAACATGACTGTGTCTCTGCGCTCACACTGTGAATGTGTTGCCGAACATCCATAATATTTCACTGCTGTTTAATCTAGAAATGTCACAGCATCTAAATTTAGTCCACACTCTTTCTCGGCCAGACTCATAGTGTAGTAGACCCAGAATAATAATAATTAAATATAAATAAATAAATAAATAAATATACATTCATTATTAAGTATTTTATTTAGATGCACACGTTTTTATACTAATTCATTTTCAGGGTAGCGGGGACATACAGTGCATAATTCACCATGTGATGCAAGACTGACACCCACTCCATGATTATTATTTTTTTCCGGATCACTTAGGGCCCCAGGTATCATTTTAACCATCCCCCTCCCACACTCCCCATACTGCGCCACTGGGCACTGTGCATCATAGTAATAAACGACCACTCACACTCACATCCACACCTATGGTCAAGTTAAAGTGTTCAATCAACCTGATGAGTACCTGGAGAACACCCCAACATCAGTGTCTTGTTAACTCCGCCCCCTTTCTTCCTCCTTTTAGTTGCCAGTTCTTTCCTTTCTTTCCTCAGACTTTGTTCTAACCTGATGATTTTGTTCCTTTGCTGCTTGGTCTGGAGTCTGTTTCTGTGTCCGATCGTGTTGACCGTCTGCTATTGAGTTCTGGCCTGAATTCTTACAAGGAGTGTATTAACTGTGTTGGTTTTCTGCCAGAGGGCACCTGTCGTCCTGCATCACCGTCCATATTTTCATCAACTATCGCTGCATTTTACAGCCACACGTCAACAATTTGCCACATCTTTCCACACCTTTTCTTTTATTCAACATTCTCTCGCAGGTCTCTTGAGGAGAAAGCCGGTTGTCTGTATTATTTCGTTGGCGCTCGCTCCCTCTTTTGCTGCACATTCCAAAGTGTGATCAATACAGTTTCATCTTGTTCAGTTGACTGCAGTTTCTCAGCGCTGCTTATAAGAGGATCAATAGGTGCGACCGAGGGAGAGGTCAGGCCCACATTTTCAAAGCCTTCTCGAAATGCTGTGGTTCAATAGCTTGTTAGTATGCCAGGGAATCGCATGGCACAGCCTGAAATGCAAAGAAAAGCACCGTAACTGGTCTGAATGTTAATCTGTCAAAATCTTTAGAGCAATCAAGCAAAACGTCCACATTACACCGGTGTCGTAGTCCCTAATTGACTCAACCACAACCGTGCCACAGAAGTATCTGACAATGTTCAGATCGGGGTAGAAAAGGTGAGAGGAACGCAGCCCACAGATGAGATAACCTGATTATCATTTGGGCAGTAAGGCACCTCACCTTCAGCTCCCTGCAGCCAGCTCCTGTCTCGTCAGGATTGATTGCATCAGAGAAGTATGATTTAAAATTCAGCATCTCATGATCTGGAATACTCAGAGGATGAATCAAAACCTCATAAGGGACAGTGGGATGCAGCCAGGAAGACGTGATGTGAATACTCCAGCAATCTGTCTGCCCAAAGGTCCCTGTGGACGGAGACCAAAAGTCTGCATTTCAATGTTGCACAGCAGAGTGGACAATGTTCCACAGAGTGTTTGGACACAGGCAGAATCACTACGGTGTGGTCATCCATCCATTAAAAGATCCAATGAACGTATACACTTTATGCAATCATCTGAACATAAAGCTGTGTTATATCCCACCTGACCTTAGACTGGACTGGAGTTTATTAAAGGGCTTCATATAGAGATCAACACCTACGGTCAATTTCAATCAATTTTTTAAATTCTTCTTTTCAGGGTCATGATGAGGGCAGGACAGTTCTGATGTTGACCACATTCAGACCATCTATTATTAAATAGATAGAAGAACCGTAAACTGCATGGGTAAAAACTGACCTTCAAACTTTTAGAAAGTTACTTCCACTTTGTAAATAATTTCTCTGATCTAAAAGATGGTAATAAATAAAGTAGTTTTACCTTGATCAGTGTGTCATTTGTTTTTTTGTTTTTGTTTTTTTTAATACTTTTAATGTTGCAGGAACATTATTCATGTCTGGAATGAGGGCGATTGATAGATGGTACGCACCAACGCATTCTCCGCGTGCACTCCAGAGACGAACTGTGTGGTCGAAGGATGAGGTAAGCACCACTTGATCATTGTCAACAATCTGCAGGCTTGACCAGAATAAAATGATATGAGACAAAACAGGGGAGAAAGCATTTTTGGCACAACTCCCTAAATCATCCACAGTTTTGGTGCAGCTGTGGCAGCAGCGCTCCCTCTGATCATCTGGTTAAGACAACCGTAGTGTTTCTCCGAGTCGGGTAAGAATAAACTACTGTACTACTGTATGTCTACAGTTTCCCTAAATGACATGAAAACAAGTAGTTCTGTCAAACAGACATTAGAAGGAAAACCTTTTCACACTACATTTCAATGAGCTTACAATTTATTTTTTGTCAGTTATTAAATAAACACGTTAGTTGTTTTAATTATTTTGTGAAATTAATCTGATAATCTGGGGAGAATGACACTCACTGTACATCCAATTATTCCACTACTGGTTTCTGTAATATACAGTCAAAACGCATGTCGTTTTTGTTTCACAAAATACCTCAAGCTTAAAATCCCATCTCAACTCTCACTGTACGTTTGTGGGGGCTTCAACTTTAGAACAGGGTAATAATAACCTGCTGTTATTCACCCATCTCAAACCAGCAGTTTAGAGAAAAATAAAATCAATATACACAATTACCCGTGATTTATCATAATTAATTAAGATCATGATTAATAGCGAGTGATTGGAATCACTCCACTGTTATCCAGTGACTAATGAGGTTATTTATTATTTGACAGCCCGTATATTTATATGTTGTCTTTACCACTAGGATTGTTAGTAACTGGTTCTCCATCCATCAGTGACACAGGGACAGACACTGGGGGACTTCTCTCCTTTAAGACCTGTCCTAGAATGATCTGCAGCTACTGTATGTAGGGCTCCTTGACTCTGACTATGACTTGCTGTGACAGCAGGAGCTGAGGCAGTTTCTCCAGCCTTCAACTTTTCACCTTCGGAGCCCTGCAACTATAACAGGTAAACCCAGAGCAGAAAATGAGTCGGGCCAGGATTTGAGCAGAGGAGTCGGAGAAACGAGGAACGAAAGTCAGTAGAAGTAAGACAGGTTGTACCGTGTGTGTGTGTGTGTGTGTGTAAATGAGCATGAGGCAGATGGAAATGTGAAGAAACAAGAACTAGAGTTAGTGAAGGACCAAATATGATGGTGGTTTGGACACAGGGCTGAGGCCACAGATTCTAACAGTTAAAGACGTCCACAGTTCTGGGATCGACCAGGATTAGAAAAAAGAAACACAACAGGTGAGGAGGAGACATTTGTAGGTGGGAGAGAGTGAAGCAAGGGTGAGGTTTATGGAGACATGGGATGAAGAATGTCTAAAATTGACCTGTCAAACTGGAGGGAAAAATCCCAGAGTTGCTTTAAATATGTAGCAAAAACGGACAGGAATAACATTCATGCAACAATAGGAGGGGAAAAAAATTGAAACAGAAATAAAACATAAAACCTTGTACGGGGGGTCCTCGGTTTTTATTTAAAAAGTTGTGTTCTCATTCTGACGTATGGAATTGAAACTGGCCAACAAGTTGAATAGATTTTTTTGTTTGTGTTTTGTTTTTTTGCCCTTCATTATGGCTCCCAGATGCAAGTCAGTCTTTTCTGATGTTTCTATGTTTGATTTTGATTTTTACCACTGTGTTAGTGTAGGTGAGTGATGTACAGGATGTGAGTTCTAACTCAAGTCCAACCCGAGTCGAGGAACCCCTGAATGTAAATGTAAAACATGTGATGGACACACTACTGATGGGTCATTCGTCTTCCTAATTTCATGTGCTATGCTCAGCAATGACACGATGATTAAAAAGTCATGTTGACATACCCAGAGACTCTGCTGATGTGGGCACGCCAGAAGTAGTCAGCTGGAAAAAGTTTAAAAAGTAACGCTTACTACAGTCATTTAAAGGTGAAGCTCATTTATTTTGTTTTTAAGAAAAAAAAAATCTTACCTTTCGGTGACTTTTTCTCAGGATGAAAATCGCTCATGTCGTAAACATAAATGTAACCAATTTGGTCAGCAGCATACAGAAATGTGTCTTTGGCTGTTTTAGCCATTTTTGTAATCTTTTGTTGGAATCTAGACTGTAACAAAACCACAACACAAAAACAGTAGAAATATTATTGCCACGATACAAAAAAGATCTCATTAGGCAACAACAACAAACTATTGCTAGACAGTTTTTGTCTAAAAAAAATCAAGCCAGGAATTAAACCACTCTTTTATCTACATTCTGTTAGAGAAAGTAGTATTGAATTTTGTAAAATTAACTATAGCTTAAATTTCGTCTGATGCAGAGTAAACATCTTACAACTTTGAAGCTGCTCAAAAACTTTCCTCCTCCGAGCACCTGCCAGATATTTATGCAACCTTGCAAAAAGAAAAGGTCCATTTAAAACACTTAACTGTAATGAAACACATCCAGTCGGTGGTAAAGTGCAATCATGCACTTTAATTGTTTTACTTAACTCTGACCTGCGGTTCCAGACGACAGGAGAACCGTTGAAGAGGACAACCTGGGGTTCTTCAGGAAAATGATGCTTGGAACGCTTTTATCCAACCCTGTAGAACGCAAGGATGGATTTGATGGACTGCTCACAAGGGTCGAATAATTTTCTTTAAACTAAAAAAAAATCACCTGCTTCACTTTCAGCCGACTGAGGGAAGGGGAACCGACACTGTATTCCTTCAGAAACCACGTTCCACACTATGATCTCTCCATCATAACTGCTGGTGGCCAGGAGCGATGGCAAACACTGGGCCACACAAAGGATGTCGTCTTTATGGCCGTTTGTCTGGAAGAAGAAGAGGAATTTAAAATGTATTTTACCTCCACACGTGAAGTTGTGCATCACAGACGGTCGGACGTCACTGTGATTTACTGTAGTCTTTCCTCTAAGACACAGCAGCAGTAAACACTAATTTTATCAGCCTCATAATTCACAGAAACAACTTTTGCTTCATTTGCATGATGTGGGACAGAATAATGTACAAATCTTCAGCTGCTGTGGTTTGGATTACAGTCTGGATCTGCTGTGCAGCAGGATTCCTACCTCCAGCATTCCAAAACTGAAATACAACTCATACAACTTCCCATATCTTTCTTCCTTTCTTTCTTTCTTTCCATCAACACTTGCTCTTTCAACCGAACCCATTAAGCCCATGCTGGCATAGCAGCTTGCTACCCATACAGGAGCAGATTACAAGGAGCCAACATGGAACAAACTTCAGACAGCACCATGGCAACACGTGCTGATCATCCTTGTGGAGCTGAGACGCCTTCGAAGACCAGATTGAACCGATTAGCCCAACGTTACAGCTGCTTCTCCGCCCCGCATCGATCTAAAGTCAATCATCTTTCTTCTTGTGCCTTTTCTGACCAGAAATCAGTAACCGTATCTGCTGCGAGTGCAGGGAGCGCGCCTGAGAAATGGTTCCGATCATGAGCCAAATCAGGGAAAACAGATGGCATTTTCAGCCTGTGTTAAACTCTCTGTCCCGGCGAGAGAAAAAAATTGTTTAGCCAAATCGGTCCATGTGTAAAATTTTAATGAGATGCATGAGAGGACTGACCATCTGGAGGAACAGAGAAAGTCACACTTAACTCAGTCCTCTGTGGAAAACAAAGAGAGACCGAAGTACACGGGCAAACATATTGATCTTTGTCTTTGAGGCCATTAATGAAAAACTGTTTCAAGAGGGGGTTCAGTGGACAATCAGAGAGGTCTCTTCTATTCTTGGCCACTGTAATGAAATCTCTGTGCTCTCTAATGGGCCCCAAGAGAATGAGTGTAAGCAGCAGACGTAATGAAAAGGAACGCAGGACGATCAGCTTTATGTCTTCCAGTTTCACTCAAATTTGTTACATTATACAAGTATGATCTGGTATAATGTTGGTGGGGTTGGCAACGCTTCTTGACTCTTGTGGTGTTACAGTAACAGTCTCCACACCTGTCTGCAAACAACATTATCCTAGCTAACTCTTTTTCACGATGACCCTTAATCAGATCTATCCTAAACCGTTTTTGACCTAAAACAATCTGCTTGGATTTTCTTCTGTGTGAAGGAGATAAATCACTCTCTTTGTGAGCAATAAAATTACTCCAAATCTGGTCACTCTGGTCATATTCCACTATCACAAAAAATTAAATCTGCCTTAATGGCCACATTACACGTCTAACCTCCTCTGTTTATAGTCTGGGTATCATTCTCAGTTTCATTGTGGACAAACTGGATCCAAAGACCAAGAAGATGAGAATAGGATGTGAATGTGAATTTGTGCGTTAATGCATGTCTAAATGTGGCTCTTTGGTGAACTGGCATTCTGTTCAGGATGTATCCTGGCTCTCCACCAGCGGTAGCTGGGATTGGCTGCATCTTTCTCTCAGCCCTGAGGGGGAAATTGGTTCAAATGTCAGATATAAAAGTGAAAGTTTAGCATCAGGAATGTCATTACATTGGTATACACAGAGAAATGGATCACAACATGAAGTATAAAATGAAGATAGAGAGTCCTTTGGCTCCCTGGTTGAGCGAGTGCTGCAGAGATCAGAGACGTTTCACTACAGTGTGTACTGTATCTCGATAGTAAACCTTTTAGCCAGTCAGCAAAAATATACAATGCTTAGAAACAAGTGTCCTCTGTGGATCTGCAAAATAAAAGCACCAACAGAGATGGTTTAGCTTCACTGAAAAATCTACAGCCTCATGATATCATCAGTGTAATTGTGATGACTAAAATAACTGCTTGAGTTTATTTATAAATGACAGCAAGAAAACTATTGACTAAAAGTTCTTGAGTGTTCTTTTGTGACAAGTTTTAAAGTATCATTTGTATTGTTCCTGATTTGATCACTTCAAGTGGAAGATGGTTGTTTTTTTGTTTGTTTGTTTTTTGTTTTGTTTTTTTACTGCCTGTATTATTTTGATAGTGAGGAGTTGATTCATGGACTTTACTGACTCTCCAGCACTGATTACTTGTATTTGTGTCTCATTAGCTTTGTTCTAATTCCAGAACTGCACTCAATGCAACCTTCATTAATTCTTCAGAATTACTGAATAAAATTATACAGTATGTTGTGCAATTAATGCAAAACTAAAGTAGAAGCTGGACTTTTTGTGTTTATACAGTATGCATGAACTTTCTCCAAATAAATCGTCTCTATTGGACATCTATTGATTGTATATAAGGAAGAAAAGTGGTAGAAATTATGGCATATACTGATATTGTTTTGCAAATCCAAACTAGTTTTGTTTATTTTGCATATTTATTAACATGTAATGTTTATGTCTAAATTGATCAAAGTTATGGTTTGGTCAATGTGTTGCAGCCTATTTGGGCCAGAACATAAGAATTATAGAAGTTAAGGCTTTTCTGGTTAAATAAAAGGTTGAAATAAATGTTTATTTTCAATGGCCATGATGCAGTTTGACAACGTGTTAGAAAACTGCAGATGCGTTTGAGTGCAGTCTATAAAATGGGAAAGGGCTTCTGTCTTCTCTCCTCCTTTTCGGCTGTGTTTTAGTTCATGGTTTACATCACATTTATTTTTGTCATAACCATTTTAACTGCCTGGTTTCTTTTGGCTTTTTTATGTTTTAATCTCTGTTTTGTCAAAGCTCAGAGACAACAATAATCCATCTGTTCTTTTATATGAGTGAACTGATGTGTTTTTTTTTATCTGACAGACCATTAAGTCACTCTGTTGTCTGTTGTGTTTTCTGTTGTGTTTCTCTGTTTCAAACCTACACAAACTCAAACTCACACACATGGGAAGCAAACTGAGAAACCTGACGTGCAGCCCATTATTCTGTCCCGGCTGAACATATTTTCTGCTTGTTATTGTCAAAACAATTTAATGTTTTTTAATCACCGTATCTTCCCGCCACGGAGGCTGTGGCTGCTGGACATGATGGAGGTCGTCTGGTTCATCCTGGAGAAAGAAATAAAAGAAGGCGTTTTTACACCTTCATATGACAAAGCAGCCTGTAAAACGTCTGGAAGAGCACCTTGAGATTTGATTAACCTGACAATGACCCAAAGATTAATTTTCCTTGCAACAAATGAGTTTTTTTTTTTCAAATCAATTGTCTGGTTTCATAATGAAAGTCAAATTTGGCTTCTTTTGACAGAAACTATTAATCATTTTATTCTCTGTATAAGTGTGGTGGTTTTAGCACTGTAAATAAGTAGGTACAAAAATGCAGATTAGTTGTAGAATATTTGTTTTGAGGGTTCTGAGGAAAAAACAAACAAAAAACACCACAGTTTCTGTCCTGTCTCTTATACTCACTGAGTAAATGTCAATCTTGCGATCCCGGCCCACAGATATGACATAGCTTTAAAAATAAAATTGCACAAGCTCACAATGGTTTGAAATTAAACAGAGCCAAGACTTGCCAAGCACCACATCATTACTCACCAATTCCTGTGAACCTTAAGAAAGCTGCAGTGGCACACTTCCAGACATTCACTGTCTACAGGAGAGATGGAAAGTGATTTTTCACACTTACTGGGAAAGTGCAGTGCTTTCACCTTTTCTTTTCATGGAGTAATGAAAATGTATAGTACACACCCTTCCTCAGTGTCTTCAGGCACTGACCATTGCTGAAGTTCCAGATCTTTAAATATCCATCTCTTCCACCAGTGATGAGTCTGAAAACACAACAATATATAAACACAACTCCTCTAATTGAAGAGTTTATTTAATGGTCAGAAAATAACACAAATCAATTTATTTAAATTAAATACGAGAGGCGCCATAAAGTATTTGGTTGCGATTCACGGCGCCTCCAGTGGCAGCCTGTGTTAGTTGCAAAGACTCATAGGGACTCAATAATAATAATAATAATAATAATAATAATAATAATAATAATAATAATAATAATAATAATAATAATAACCCACGGTCTGTATTTGGCAGTAGTGTGTACCTGCTCTTTGAAGGTAACACTGCAGTTCCATTCTACTGAAATGTCAAAGTGAATCCCAGGAGGAAATTGTGGAGCATGACTTTGATGAGGGTCACATTTTACCAACGCAGCATATGTAGGAGTAGATTCCGAACTATATGGTCTGGCTGTGTTACATTGACATTTCAAAAGTTCAATTTACTTCATTTTAAATATCCCCACACCCTCCCACACACACACACAGCCCGGTGTTGGACCTAGACAATAAAACGAAGATTGAGTTTCAAGCAAGCAAGGTTTTAAGAATGTTATGATTTAGGCTAAGGAAGACAGATTTTAGTAAAGGTGAGTTTAATTAAAAAAAGGTTAATTATACAGTCTGTCAACCGAAAAACTACCTTGACTAAGTTCAGGGTAAATGTAATAAAAACTGTAAAATCTCACTCACTAAAAAAAAGCTTTTTTACCTTTTCCCTTTAAGGTCAAAGGTCATGCAGGTGATGGCTGCCAGATCCCGCGTGCCACCAAACTCGAAGACTTGACGGCCGGTATCAAAATCCCAGACTTTAACGACCTGAAAACAGTGGCAGACGGATGGTTGTCACATTACAGTTCGTAGGCGACGCTGCCGTCATTATGTGGAGGAAATGTGAGCCTCTCATCTGTGACTCTGAGGCGGCAGAATGTTGATGCACTCACAGAACCTTCAGAGCAGCTCACAACTTGACGAAACTCCTCGCTGAAGCCGCAGCATGTGACAGGCTCATTGTGCGACACAGTCAGACGGCCGCTGCTGAACTGTTGTTGCCTTATGAAGAGAAAAACATGAAACTTTGACTATGGATTTTTGTTATTGAATTCTTTCTTTTTGCGTCTCTGCTCTAAAAGTCTCTCACATATTGAAGTATAAAAGTAATTTGTGACACAGCATGCTATTGGGTCTGTGACTAAAATAGTTCTGGGTTCTGTGTGGAAAAACACCTTAAACATAGCAGTCTGTCTATGACTTTGCCAGAAACCTTTTGAGGATGACATATGGTTGTTCTTACTGGAGGTACTGGACTACTTTTACCATCTCTGTGGGCTGCAGCGCCTCCATGTTTTAAGGACAGTGATGCGATTACTGGCAAAATATAGAGTTCATAGGTTGTGGAGGAGAAGGACAGAGTAACTGTGGTCTGTGGTCACCACCGGTAAAGCCACTTTTTGCAGGTTGTCTAGTTCTTGGTCGTCTAGTGCACATGTTGTCAGTCTGATTCACACCTTTACAGTGTGTGTGTGTGTGTGTGTTGGAAAATTGCCTCACATCATCATCATCAAGCACTGCTTCAATTATCCTGTTCCTGCTTCAACATTCTAACACTCTGACAACAGTGTTCACCCAGTCAGTCATCACACTCTGCTGTACGAAGTCTTCTCAGGTTTTGCTCCTGTGACTGGGTTTGTTTTTCTCCTAACCTCTGACAGCTTCCTTCTGGGTAACATCCCTCTGCTTCAAGCTTTTTTCCATGCATCCTGGTTTGACATCCCACTGTGACCTGTTTTAAAACCCTGCAGAGTTCCCTGTGAAAAGTTCAAAATCTACACTACCAATATTTGTCTTCTGCTGTTCCATTATCAACAATATCAACAAGAAGTTTCTACGTTTTTGCAGTAAATTCATGCTCTTACAAACTGACCTGCGATGGCTAAGAATTCCTGTTTAAGAAAATGCCCAAATCCTCCAAATCCCCAGCTGCTCTCTTTTTAATTTCCCACCCCAATAATCCATCCCACTTGGGGATTTTTTTTTTTTCCCAAACACGGTGGATTCTATAATGAGTGAATTAAAATCCGTGACAACCAACCTCATCTTCAGTGAGAGCACAGCCATACAGTCTGCTGCGATGAAAAGGGATTTCATAGCAGGTGAATACAGGCACGCTGACACGTCACCATGAACTCCAGTCGCTTTGGATTCTGCTGTGATCAGGCAGCACTGGTCTTGAATGTCCCATATCTGGAATGCAAACGTTGTGAGTTCATCTTTTGTTTATTCATGTCAAGCATTAACCCTTTGTTAAGGCGGGGTCTTCCTTAACAATCAATATTTAGTCAGGGGATGATTTATCTTTCACCTTTACAGTAGAATCACTGGAGACAGAGAAGACCTGACTGTCCTCCGAGGAGACGTAGAGGTGGACAACTGGAGCTGAATGGCCTTTTAAGAATCCTGTCGGTTTTCTGAAGAAACAAAATTCAAAGATGCTTGTCTTGTTCTAGGTTTGAGCTGTGTGTTTTCGTGTTGCTTTTGAACCCTGGTTCCTCACCCGCAAAAATGTGGGTTCCAGATTCTGATGAGTCTGTCCAAGCCTCCAGTGACCAACATGCTGTGCTTGTGACAAAGGTCGAAGCTCTTGACACCTTTGTAAACGGTAAAAACTCTCTGGTCTCTGGACGCTCTGGTCTGTGGCGTCCAGTTCATCTGGACCTTCTTGGTCTTTCCTTCATAACAGGCCTCCCTGATCTCAGTCAGCTCCTGCTCAGCGTCTGTTAGAGGCAGCACACAGCCTTGGAGCCAGGGAGGAAAGAGCCAAAAGAGAAGAAAGGCTTTTAAAAGCAAGGCTATCCATATGAGCATCAATCAAAACAAGCTTGTTGGAACCAGTCATTATCAAAATAAATGACCCAGCTGGCACACACACACACGCACACACCCATAAAAGGGGGAGAGAGAAACATGCACGAGCATTGACTGGTGAGTTTGTGATGAATGAGTCATTCTGAGTCATCCCTCAGAGCTGTGCTGCCAGGCCACCTCATCTTCAGCTCCGAGGATAATTACTGCTGATTGAAGATTTTCAGCACAAGAAAATTATAGAAAAAGAACATGCAGAAAGAACAAACAGTTTGTTTTTTACATTCAAGATGTTTTTTCCTGCCAAAGAAACAAACAGAAAATAAATTACCTATAACGAGAGAGGTGGATTCATCATTTGATGAGGACACTACCGCTTGGAAACTTGGGAAATATTTTGCCTGCAGATTCAGTAAAAGAGATGCAGTCATTCACTGCGTCTGCTCTGTGAACTTAATCACAGCAATGACGGCAGATGTAGTTTAAAAGATGTAAAATGAATTACAAGTTGTTGTTGTTCATGTGTCTTCCATTGTTTAATTTTTTTCTTAAAGTTTTTGCTTACAGATTCTATGATAAAGTTAAAGCCATGTTTCATCTTTTATTATTCAATCTAACTATAACAGAAAGAGCTTCAGTAAAATGTGAGCTAAATCTGTTTTTTTTCTCTCTTTTTTTAACTACCTTACATTAGGATTTTTACTTCCAACAGTTTCTTTCATTTATTCACAGCTAAGATTAACATTGTCACCTGTGTCACCCAGTCCTGATGAACCTTCCAACGGACAAAGGTTACATTTGGAGAAGCCACTGTGTTTTCAATCTCTGTTGTTGGTATATTATTCACCCGTGGTAATTTGTTCCACAACCTATAAAAAACAGACTAATTAAGTTGTGCATTTAAATGTTCTGACACATAATGACTCATACATATGCACATCTTAGCCTATCGTCCAGTCAAACTGAGGCAAAGTTACTTCATTAGCTCACGTACAGTTTGCAGGAAATATGTGTGACCGACACACCATTTGTTTTTACATCCACTCTCAAACACACAAACAGAAACAACTCAGTGGGGATTAACAGTTTATCATCATCCACAGCTGGGAGGGTTTACTGTAGCAGTCCATCCCAGAGCCACATACAGTGGTTCACACTGACACTCATACATACAGTATGATGAATCGAGAGGAAACAATTAACCTAATCTTCGTCTCTAGACTGGGGTGGAAACTGGGCTACCTGGAGAAAATGCATGCAAACACCATGAAGAAACACTGAAGATCGAAAGTCAAATTTGAAAACAAGAGCATAAACACTTTAACCTTACTAAAGGTCTAAATAAAAAGCACAGTTACCTGAGTGTATCCCCAAAAGAGGAAATTAAAACAATTGTCACACATCCCTGTAAATAAATAGAAAAACAAAAAGAAAAAACAAAAGTTATTGCTATTGTCCAATAGGTAACTTCTTTATGGCCCTATTAAAGTTTAATATAGTTCTTACATGTAGCTCAAATTTGGCTCAGAACTTATGTACGTATAATTTACCTCAGTGTCTCCATACAGGATACAACATTTGTCAGTTTGGGAATACCTACAAGAAAAAATGAAAAAAAAATAATAAATCACAACATGATAATAACATCTCATGGGCAAAAAAAAAAAAATCACAACATGATAATAACACCTCATGGGACAGGTTACTTTAAATTTAAATATACATTTAAAAAAACGTAAAGCTCTTTTGGTGATTACTTTAAATTTAAATATACATTTAAACGTAAAGCTCTTATACCCGTAGTCTATAGTCAGAGGAACTGTATCAAGTGCAGTGATCTGGCAATAGGGATCCAGAGTGGAGAGATCATAAAACTGCATTTCTCTGTCTCTGCAAGACCATAAAGACAGTGAGCTATGAAGAAAACTTGCATAAAAAAAAGCTTGGCCCACACAGATGATAATAAACAAAACATAACTCAATACAAATGATTCAGTCTTTTTTTTAATTACCCAGTTACAATTACCAGCTTCTTGTACTCAGGGATCACGGTGAAATCACTGGCCCACTTTGACTTTCTGTTGGCAGCTCCTCCATCCTGTGGGGAAGACAAAGCCATGTGTTATAAATCTGAACAGTTCAGGTTGCAGGAGGTAATGAAACATCATCAATACTGCTTGGCTGAGTGCACTCTACTGCACGACTGGAACAGCCGGCTATCAGACATGTATTAATAATGTGGCTGCTAGCAGTGTCACAGGAAGAATACAAATTTAGTTGATCCAGCAAAAAGTTATTTTGGGAGATTATATTTGTCACTTTGTTTTTCAGAGAACCCTTCTCTGGCTGGTGTCAAACATTGAGGAAGTTGTTGCTTTAGCTCACAGGGACATGGAACCTTCTGGTCTATACTGATACTTTTGTTGTTACACCAGGTGATGTTACTTTCCAACACTAAAGTCGCAGGGTAGCAGAGCTGAACATTTTTATGAACGGTTGAAGACTTAACATGCAAAATAATTGACCATAAAAATAAAGGCTCATAAAATACAACTAATAAACAAAGTAGTACATCGATGGTGACAAGATGTTAAAAAATGGAAGATGAAATGAATATGAAATGTGATTATATATTGTAGGGTTTATATATATATATTCATCTACAATATATACATTAATGGCTAAAGCAGTGTGTAGATTATAGTTTAAAAGGAACATTTTATTTATATATTATATATTTTGATATTTTTTCAGCTTGTTTGTTAACAGCAAAACAACATTATGTCACTGTCTTCTTCACCTGATGGTGAAGTGAGTTTTTTTTTAGATTTTTTTTACTTTAGGTCACTGCAGGATATTGAGTGCATTAGTTACTTACTTAGTTTTTTTAATTTTCTGTTATACAACAGGTTACATTTATTCAGACATGTACAGAAGAAGAAGACAGGTTTTTTTGACAGTGCGAGATGAAGAAGAATGAGTGTGTTCAGGACAGTCTACATACAAATATGTGTTTAGTCCTCTGGAGTTTCAGTTCAGGGCTCCAAGAACAAACAGCACCATCTTCCCTGACGGTTACTATGGTGCCGTCATGGCTGGGGTGGATGTTGACGATGGGGATGATGGGGAGGCTCTGGCACAACGGCTTCATTGTAGCAGGCAAAGTAAAAGCCACCTGTTTGCTGCGTCTTGTGCTTTCTTCCCTCTCCCTGTGCTCCTGCAGCATGTGTGCACAGAACTGACCCTGTGGAGGATAGATCAGCACACTTCATGTTAGACCAGTGCAATACATTTATCCCAATGTTGTACAGTTATTACAGAGGTTGTTGATTGATCAGAGCGTAGAGAAGGGTAAGAGAGAGAGGATAAAATCGTTTTTAATATCTAGAAATAAACTTGCAATGCGAACAGCAGAAGTCAGTTATAACCTGATTCTGTATAAGAAAGGTTAATTTCCAGGATGTTATTTTCAAGGTTATTGGTTGTTGTTTATTTTGTATGTGTTATCAGTGAAAGTGTTTATTTATAAATTGCTCTAAGGGACTTGAGAGCCTGACTTGTAATCACTATGTAAAACTTGTCATTGTGTAAAATATAGTGTAGTCCCAGTGACTGCTATTAGAACTGTTACAGAGACAGCACTGTCTAACAGGTTGACAGCCTCTGTAAAGCCCAACCTAAGCTGCAAAAAAGAAATCAAATTATATAATTGATATACTGAGTCCTGTATTGAAGCCCAACCTAAGCTGCAAAAAAGAAAAAAAGAAATCGAATTATATAATTGATATACTGAGGCCTGTATTTATACATTTATTTTTGGTGATAACATTCCTAAAATGTAAACAATGGGCCTTTAATAGTTTCCTCCATGTTTTTACCTTTTTCAGGTGACAAGTGTTGGCATGCATGGAACAAGAAATGAACTAAGACAATTCTATTTCACACTAAATAAAAAAGGCGTTTTGCTTCTTGAGAGAGAGAGAGAAGGAGAGAGAGAAAGAGAGAGAGAGTGTTTTATCTCACCCATGAAATTCTTCCTTGGCCTGAATAATCAATCTTCTTGAATAACCCTTGAATCTGTTCATTGCTCTGTGAAATTTAAAAGGACAGAGGAATATGAAGCTGCAACACTTATCGTAAATTGATCGTGTAACTGCAGAACTCCTTGTCTTTAATTGCGGAGTGGTGGGATGCAGCGAGGGAGACGTCTCACCATGTGTTTTAAACCCAAACATTTCTTTACTATGCCGATGAAGTTTTTCACATCAATGCATCCTGAGCCGTTCTTTTCAAAATCCTCGAATGAAAAAAAAAATCTCAAAGGTTCAGTTCTGCCGTACAGTCAAATCTCTTAGACAGTGAGTGAACAGTTGATACTCACTCTACCTCAAATGCAAGTTTCAGTTTCTGGAGTTCGTGCAGTGACATTGTTTCACTGACCTAATAGAAAGAAAAACATGTTAAATTTACTGATAGAACAGCATCCTGTTAATTATAATTGCACGATTCCCTCACAGATTCTGATTCTCTAATTAACATTATGTATAATTTCACCTTATTCACTCAACTCACCAGGCAGGGCAAACTTTCTGACACATAAAAGCGCAAATGAAAGTCAGAAAGGTCGAAACGAACATGTTTAAAATTATAACGCGTGACGTTATCACCCCACACAATTATAGCTCCACTTCTAATGCTGACAATAAGCCACCAGCAGCTCTGACATATCTATCAGAAGCCTGGGAGTGGACTGATGACAGGACACGCTCCCCCTGTGTTAATGGTCTTTCTTCAGTTTGCCACAGTTTCCTGGCAACCGCTTTGTGATCCATGCCACCCTTTGCTCAATCCTGAATAGTGAGAGAGATACACAGCCTCATTCCTCAAGGGTGTAAATAGAGCTGAGGCTTCCCTGCAGTAACTGCTGAACTGGTGAGATAACTGTTTAATATGTCTGTGTGATGGAAATATTAAAAAAAGTAATCTAACTCCTGACTGTGTCCCTGTCTAATTTTCAGTTTTAATAAATCTTCTCTGGGGTCTTCTGCTTCTATTCCTGGCTGGGAGCTCCGTCTCCAACATCCTTTGTCCAATTTATCTCCTATCCTTCACCAGGGGCGCAGACTTTCTGGCCAACGCAGAAACACTTGGTCTGCCAATCTGTTTTTATGTACTTTACTTATACTGGATATACTCTGCATGTGAAATATTAATGGAAATAAATATGGATGGAAGGAGGATCATCCCAGTCTTTAGGTTCTGTAACTTTGTACCGATCCTGAACCCCACACAGAGAGCTACAATTTAACCCTTCATTTTTTATGTTTTCTAATAGGAGAAAACACTTGGTTCCAGTGCAGTGCTATAGGCTCAACATTGTGCAGTGAGAATTCTCCTCCCCTGTGTGCAGGAGACAAATTAGAACCTGATGGAATTTATTGTCGTTATTAGAGTAATTTTCATTAGCATTGCTTTGTTTGTTTTTTAATTCATTGCTGTATTTTAATTTTTACAAAAATGCATCTTACAACTCTTAATTACTTGGCTGGCTGTTTTATTCTGTATTTGCTTTTTTTTCTTGTTATTTAAATTTGCATATACTACTGTAAATTTAGTTTATATTCCATGATTTACAACCTAAACGCAGTTGAGTAATTTCTTTTGCAAATTTATAGTAAATCCCATTGACCAAAAATGCATTCTGGGATATTCAAATAAATACAGTTGGTTGGGATGTCTGCAGCAGCAAGTCTATCAGACAGTGACACTGTCACATCAAAGATTACAGCAAATCTCATTACTGTCCAGTAAACTTCGCCCCTGTGCTCACCTGAATGTTTGACGGTGTGCAGTAAAACCCCTGCACCTTTACTACTGCTGCCACTTACTTAGCATCAACTTAGAGCCGCACACTTCCCAGGATGCATTTGCTCTGGCCTCTTGCATCATTCGATCATTTCTGTCAGCTTGAAAGCTTGAATTTAAACCTCCTGTGCCTCTAAGTGGTTGGCTCAGTAAATATGTTTGTTTTTACTTTGGCCAGAAACATGGCCATGCCCAGCCCTCTGGGACACACTGTTCTGCCCACTGTGCTGTCAGGCTGCGACTAAATTAATCATCAACTTGATTTAAAATGGCATCTCCAGCATTACCTAACATTTATTCTGTGTCTGCTGAGATATCAGCTGAAGTTGAGTTTAGCCGCTGTGGACAGTCTGCGAACTGTCAGGCATAGTACTGTGACACTCTAGTGACACCCTGAGGCTAAAAACAGCAACTGTTACAAGAGCTTGACATCTAAAAGAGAGCTTCGATGATGTAGAGAATGTAGAGAATGGGTCACATCCCTCTATATGACAGTATATGGAGACAGATGTATTGAATATTTGTACCTTGAGGCTGCACAGTTTGCGAATGGAGTTGATTCTGTCATGTTGTCGTCTTAAGGTAGGAGACCTGTCTCCAAGTGTGACAGAGTGTCTCCTGTTGTGTTGCAGCAGCTCTCGAATAAGCCACTCTGGCTGATCTTTATTTTCCCCATTTGCTCGTCTCTTTGATGAAATGTCATCAACACCTCTCCCAGCCCGACCTGCAGCCCTGGAGTGGATCCTCGTCACATCCAGAACATATTTCAGTTCTGAGAGGATGCTGGAGAATTTGAAAAGATTTTTTTTTTCATGATTTGCATGCATAGGTCTTTAATAATATAGATCAATAATTTTGGTAGCGATGTCTAACAGAGCCTCCAAACCACACACAACTCTTATAAATGTAACATGTTTTTCAAAGTTTTCGAGGTTTTCAAGCTGAAAAGTGTTGTATGATTAGCATTATCACTTGTAGGCTTGAATACATCCAACATAACACTACTAGTGTTGACACTAGTTAGCAGTAAAAAGTTCAAGTTAGCAAAACAAGATCAGTAAAAAGCTTTAAAGAGAACTAGTAAAGTGCTGAAAAAAGCAATGTGGCTAACGATTAGCAAGAAATGTGTAGCTTAAATTGCCAAGAGTATTAATAAATAAATTACACTAAAACATAGCACAATAGTGATGTAATCAACTGCCAAACATAAACATTATCATAAAAAATGTATTCACTGTTTAAAGGACACTAACAGTAAGCTACCCAACTGCTAATGCAGCATAAAACAACTTAAAACTGGATAAAAGTCAGCATATGTTAATGTTAATAATATAACAAAGATTTCCAAATTACATAGAGTAGAAATGGCCCAAAATCACTCAAATGATTTACATTAGTCAATTAACAATAGATAAACTAACTTGATATTGTTAAACTGGGAAATACAGAGAAGAGCTAAAAAGCAGTTGGAGGTTAACAAACAGCCAACAGAGATTTTGAGACATTTTTAGCAAAAAAAAGACAAAAAAATCCAAAGCACAGAGCTGGAAACTAATCTATTTCTTGGATTAGATTCCTTATTCTGGCCACACATGAATGTTTAGACACCATGACAACAGTAAGGTTTGAGGTCTGAAGAAAATAGAATAAATCATGGCAGCAGAAGAAAAACAAAGACAAGGAAAGGAAGGAAAGGAAATTAAACCTTCTTTTATTTAGACATTCTTAATTTGTTCATAAATGTATTTTATATTTTAATAGACAAGCATTATTACCTGGTCACATTTGGGCATTCCAATCTTCCAGAAGCCGAAGAAGAGCGGATTTTTCTTCCCGAAGGCATTCTTCTCTGAAGGCGCACTTAAAGTTTAACGTGTGTAAAAACCTCAGGTCAGACACATCTATCATTAGTACACCTGACACTCCTTCTTTGTTACACACGAGAAGAGCAGGTGACCTGTGGTAACTAAGATACCAATAGTGACAACTGAGACTTCTAAAGTTTAGACCTTACAGTCCATGGTCCATTATAAACCTTGTTTAAAATTAATGATATTCCATTACAATATTACATTAACTATTTATGATATCAGTGTTCACATTGTGTTGCTATCAGTAACTGTGTTACATGCTTCCCTGTTCTTGTTGAATGACTACAAAATTAATTGTCATAATGAGAAAATGCAGAATTACGTAGTACAAAGATGTTAAAGATGATAGGAAATATTTTTCTATTTTTATATGACCAATTAGTATAAACTTAAAGAAATAGAGTGGAACTACGTTACTTTGCAATACTTAAAGAAATAGAGTGGAACTACGTTGCTTTGCAATAATCTTGTAATTATCAGAACTACATCTGATTTGAGATTATGAAGCTATAGTAACGATAATCGATAATGAGCTTGTTTGCGTTATATATGAGATTATCTGATTACTTTTTCAATAACGTCAATAAATACCATTATGAGGATTCAATCAACTAATTGCATTTAAAGATAGGATACAGGCCATAGACCGTCTCAACCAAAACGAATTTGAATTTATATTGCGGTCAATCATCTGTACTCAGTAAAACTGTCATCCAAATTGAACCCACTTTCAAATGGTTTTCTTGCAGCAGCTTCGGCTGTTAAGTCATTCAAGTTTAGCGCCATCCTTATTATCTTGTTTCGGACAACCAACCGTGTAACAAGCGGTGTCTGGGTCTCATTTTGTCCAATAAGATTCTCCAAGGAGATGGAGACAGCCAATGTCCAACAGCCGAAAGAGACGGGGGGAAAGCAGCAGAGGGTCCTGTGAGCTGAGCAGCCGTGAACAGACGCTGCTCTTCTTCCCATTGTTTCTGTCACGCAGGGACGTGTAGCCGTGGCCTTCGTATTGCGCTTTACAGGTGAGCATCATGACCGTTGACACACTGTGAAAACTGCCCACGGCTTTGCATGAATGCTATGTTATGTTAACCTGCTGTTCACATTGTACGGCATGACTGGAATGGAAGTAATGTTCATACAGCAACAAGCAGTTGTTGACAATTCTGATAATTGGGTTTAGAAATACCTCGTAAATTAATTACAGTGACATGTTCAACTTGGGTCGTTTGGTTTAATCTGTGTATTTTAGCCTTACTGTGTACAGCCATAAGAGGCTAGTGCTCAGCCAACACTACGGCTTAAACGCTGGTGACAGGTGCTCCAGAGCTGCAGTCACCGGAGCGTATGTGGTTGAAGCATCCTCTGCACAGACCACCGCTACTCCTCGTACGAACATTTAAACATAACCTGTCGCCTCTTTGTATTTTTTCAGTGCTGACATTAGGCCGCTGCGTAGAAATGCACCTATGTTAGCAATTGTTAGCAGCATAACTCGGCCATTTTGATAATCGCCTCATATTGAAATGAGTTTGCATAGCTACAGCTACCATAGTCAGCCTAGCCCACAGCGAGAGGACACAAAGCCAGTGGAAGCCATTATGGCTAACGGCCAATGTAATGTATTCATCCGCCGGTTTTTTCAGAGATACATCAGTGAGGAACTGCCTGATGTAGATATTGTGCTGTTGTATTTTATTTACCTACTTTGCTAGAAAGCGTTCGACTAGCTGCACCAGGAAATTGATTTTATTGAAATGATAAGAAAATCAGTGCAATGCATTATTTTTACAGGGCATTTTAATGGAGGGTATATACAAAGACTCATCACACACAACAGACACTCCTCCCACTTCATAATTTGAACAATAGATATGAATGCATTAATAAAATTAAAAAAGAGAGAGATTAAGCAATTAACATTATTTTATGCCTGCATTTTCAGCTATTTGCTTTTCACAGGTTTTTAACAACATTTGAATGCAATTTCTACCACCCCCCAACAGATTTAGAGGTCATTTGAAGTAAATCATTCAGCAGCATATTAATCTGATGAATTTAAGGATTTAGTTATTTTTTTTAACAATTTAACTTAATTTTTGAATTTTAATGAATTTGCTATTAATGTTGCAATTAATTTTTGCAACATTTAATACATTTGTCAAATCTTAAAATTGGTTGAACTGTTGTTCCTAATGTATTACATGGGGAGGAATTTTAAAAAAGGCTCAAAGGAACAAGATTGGTTACCATAGACTTGGAAGTAGCCTTTTATGTGTATAATAGTTACGAGTATACTTTAGAGGCTGTTGTCATTTTTCATCAATAGAATGGAATAAAATTGACCTGAGAAGGCATTGAACACTGAGAGCAGAAGTTTAATACTGAATCAAAAACTTTTTTGATGTAAGATTTATTAACAAGTTTGATTATTAAAATGTTCGTTGACCCTGGCACACGGTTGTTCCAAAAGTCTAGCAATCTTGAGTTACAAATTGCTAAACTTTGTGACTAAATGTTAATTTACAGAATTGTTTCTAAGATGGTAGATCTTTAATGGGTTTTTTTTTTTTTTTCAAAATTATTTTGTACAGTAAGTTGTGTGGTTTCCAAACCAACAAGGTGAGATACAAATATCAAAGTGATTTTTGTATCTTAAGTTTGACTTCTGGTTGTGACTGGTGGTTTGTTTATATAAGGCCCTGTAGTAGACTAGCGAACTGTCCTGGGTACCTCACCCTTGTCCAGTGAAATCCTTGGCTTGCCTCCAATCTCCCTTAAGGCTAGAAAAAGATTATTTGGTAGAAGATGAATGAATGCCACCTACACGTCTTTTTTAAACAATTTTTTAATTTTTTTTAGTGAATCAAGATGGTGAAGGACCCAAAGAAACCGCGAGGCAAAATGTCCTCATATGCCTACTTTGTGCAAACATGCCGTGAGGAGCACAAGAAGAAACATCCTGATGCCTCTGTCAACTTTGCCGAGTTCTCGAAGAAGTGCTCAGAAAGGTGGAAGGTAAAGTTAATCACCTTTTAAGAGTTCAATTCCACATTTTAATTACATTTTCCAGAACAAAAACCATGTCATATGTTTAGCGCAAACTTGTCATGTTTTTTTTTCTTTTTTGTCCCCAAAGACGATGTCACAGAAAGAGAAAACCAAATTCGAGGACATGGCCAAACAAGACAAGGTTCGCTATGAGAGGGAAATGAAGAATTACATTCCCCCAAAGGGCCAGAAGATGAAGCGATTTAAGGACCCTAACGCCCCCAAGAGGCCACCGTATGTTCCACAATCTTCCCATTGTGCTTGTACATTTTAATTCTCTATTTCTGAAGAAGTGTTCTATTAAAAACTGACACGGTTTTTTTTTTTGTTCCACAGGTCTGTTCTTTCTGTTCTGTGCAGACTTCCGTCCCAAGGTGAAGGACGAGAATCCTCGTCTCTCTATTGGGGACACTGCAAAGAAGTTAGGCGAGATGTGGAACAGCACATCTGCAGAGGAAAAGCAGCCATATGAAAGGAAGGCTGCCAAGTTGAAGGAGAAATATGACAAGGTGGTTATTCATCTTTTCTTTCTGCTCTAACGCATCTGTTCCTGTTGAGGTAATCACACATTTCTATCCTGCTTTCCACAGGACATCGTTGCCTACCGCACTAAGGGCACAGTGGATCCAGGATCAGCCCGGGCAGCTGAAGATGAAGATGATGAAGATGAAGACGAAGAAGGAGAGGACGAAGAGGATGAGGAAGAGGATGACGACGACGAGTAGACTGCATAGAAATGGAAAGAGACCTCAAGTTTTGTTTATGCCATATTACTCAACTATACTCAATTCATCATCTTGAAAACCAAGATCAAATGGAACAAGAACATATGTATATTTGATGTTTTTAAGATGTACAGTGTTATGCGCTTTTTTTTGTAAAGTTAACGCAACATATCTTAAGTTTGAGATTTTCTAGTGGTAGTTCTTTGTTCTTACCTTATTGTGTAACAATCTAGGGGGAGCATAAATCAGTATGGAACAAATTAGTCTATCAGTGTCACAACTCAAAAATAAGATTTCTGAGTTGTTAGTGTATTTTTATTTATTTTGAAAGATATTTTTTTATGTGCTGTCCCAATGTCTTTTTATTGTTCTTTGAATACCACTCTAATATCAAATGCAGCTGTCGACATTCAAGAATGTCTTCAATAAAGGTCGTTTTTTTAAGTGGCTAGAGTTTTTTTGTTAATTATATGTATATATATTTATATATATATATAGTGAGATATAAATGTATATATATATATAAATATAATAATTATAATAATAATATAATACTATTTAAGTTTCTTGGTATTTGATGAGTAAAAACATACCACTGGTGCTCTATGTAGTTTGTAGGTTTTAATAAATATTGAAAACTATTGATAGTAGGCGATAGATACTTCTTTTACTTACTTTTTTTAGTTGGTCACTGCCAGAACAACAAAAAAGGTTGATTGATAATCACTGAGACTGAATCTCAGCTGATGAGCACTAATCACATCCCACACCTGAACGATTGTCAGGTGTGGGATGTGAGCAGTGCTGTCCTACAAGAGTACTTGTTGTGTTTTCTACCTCATTAAATGCAGGAAGAGATTCATTGCTCGGATAGATTTCCCTTAGTTTGAAACCGGAGGCAGTCACTCAGCCTTGAAGACTTTGGGTCACTAAAAGGAGAGTAACATGTCCAGCTATCTGGCTGTTCTCAGAGACTTTGCCCTTTGCTACACAAAGAACCTTCCTCTTCAGTGGTTGCCAACAAGACTTGAATACACACTGGTCTTTTTTCCAGTAACGTCAGAGACATAATAGCATTGTTTTACCTTCTTTAATTCTTCAATATATATTTCCTTTGTGTAATATATAATTTTAAGTTACCTATTAAATTGTACTGTAATTCTAATCTGTGAAATGGGAGTGAAATGTTTACAGGTTTTAAAATTATACACAGGTAGATCCATGAATATAATTACATATAAGCTTTTCAAATAACTAAAATGATATAGAATTTCAATGAAAGTCAGCACAATAAGATCTACAAATTAAACTAAAATAAGTTAAATAAAATATCTGCAAATAGTAGGAACACAACTATAAACAAAACTCCTTATAGCTTAGCCAAAATACTGTATTTATAAGTTACACGAGTAATAGACATATTTACTAGAATGCTAACATTTAAAATAAAGCTAAATCATAACTACATAACTAAAAATGTTGCAAAAGTAAAAGAAAATATGAGTTAAAGATACATTTATTTGTAACATTTTTCATATGGTGAAATGTTGTTGGTCTTTTGGACTTGGACTTGTGTGTCCTTTGCGGCAGTGTTTTTGTTGTTTTGTGTGTGTGAGTCCTTTCTTCTTTTCCATGTATTCAATAAAGACCCAGGCGATGTGAATCCACCCATTATCCTGACCGGCCCCTCGTCGGCTCCACCTAACTGCACTGTCTTTTTACAAGCAGAGGAGTTTGGGTAACCACTAAGGACAAAGCTTCAAGAGTTTTCTATTGGCTGTCTGTGTTTGAAGACGATGTTGTGACATTTCACATGTTTTTATTTATTGTGGGAAACTAAAGGAATAATGGAATACTACAGAAAATGTTTAGTTTTCACACTACACCTTATGGTAAGTTGACTGTGCTCATGTTACCGCCACTGGTGAATTGATGGTTTGTTTTTATTTAGTTATGTTACCTTGTGTATGTTAAAGTCTGTTTATATTTTCAAAGGTGAACAGGCTGTATTCATAATTCATATCCTTTTTAAAAATCTGTTTAATTAGGTTTTTAGTAACGCGCCCTCGTCTGAAAACATTGTGAACGTGAGCACAGAGACCAGACCGGAAAATAATGTTTTGGTGCAGCATGTGCTTCCTCCATGGCTTTTCACATCTGGTGATGCTGCGCCTCAGCACAACAGATGGCAGAGACAGCTGGCCTTCTCCAGGAGTGTCTATTCATTTCAAGTGAAAGAAGACACAGCACCAGGTTAGGTGTCCGCATCTAAGTCGTTTAAAGGTCAATTAAGTTTCAAATGTTCGAAGAATACTGGGTGAACGCTTCAAACATATAACAGGAGGAGTTGATGGTTAGATTAGAATATACAATATACCGTATTTTCCGCACTATATGGCGCACTTAAAAGCGTCTAATTTTCTCAAGAATCGACAAAGTGCCTTATAACCCGGAGTATGTTTAGTCAATTTGTATAGTCCAAATTCACCAAACAGATCTGTCTGAATGGACTTAACAGTTATAACAATTTAATTAAAATAATATTATTCAGAAAACAACATTAGAGTGGAATTAAAGCACACTGAGCAAGCATCTTGGCAACATCAAAGACAAAAAAATCTCTCAACAGGAAGAAAATTCCTGCAGAACTAGATTCACTGGCACCGTCTGCTGTCTTTCTTTGCAACACTGTCCTCGATGGACAACATTTGCTGAAGCTTTTTTGGCCAAGGAAACACTGGCATTCAGCTGGAAAAACAAATCTCAGGAATCTGCTCACAATGTGTTCTTGCTATTCCTTCATAAATTTTGTTAAAAGATTTTTAGCTTAAGAATAGACATTTCTTATGTATTTACATTGATGCCACCAAGGCTCATTTCTTTTGATATTTCTTACAGATATTTACTCATCACCACCCTCTTATGCCTCTTGTAATGTGTTGTCACACAGGAACAGTTGTGGGGAAGGTGGAAGCCATATGGCAGGGTCTCACGCCTATCACGTATTCCGTGCAGGAGGATGACGGAGAGAACCTGTTTCTCCTCAGCCCCCTCTCAGGGGAATTCCTATTATCCCGGAGCCTGGATTTTGAAGCGCAGCGATTCTACGTTCTCACGGTGGCAGTGCAGCAGGGGGATATTCATGTATCCAGTGTCAGGGTTTATGTCAACGTGTTGAATGTCAACGACAACCCCCCCGTTTTCAGTGGAGACAGCTTTTCTGTCTCCCTGCTGGAGGACACTCAGGTTGGCACTTGCTTCTTGTCCTTGAATGTATCAGATAAAGATGAGGGTAAGTGCACAGAGAAGACTCGTGGGACACAAGGCAGGGTTTTTTTTAGCACTAATAACACACTTACACACATGCACACGTGCGCGCTGTCTCAACACAAATGACTCAAACTGATGTACAGTCTTTGGTTTTGGTCTAGGCTACATGGTGTAAAAAATGCTACTGTACATAATAGCATTCTGTTGACTGAGTATCTACTACTTTTATTGTATGCATTTTGATATGACAGTGCGTCAATATTGATATTTATTATATGTATTATAAAAGTAAAATTTTCACTTTTCATCTAAAGCATCAAGCCAAAAGAAGTTTGATTTATCACATATTGTGACACAACGTTATTTAATGTGTTTTTTTTTTTATCTTTCCTGCCAGATGGTAGTGAGGAGCTAAAGCTAAATGTACACCAAGGAGACGAAGCCGTGTTCTTCATTAACTCAGCTAATAGTTTGTGTTTAAAAAAAGAGTTGGACAGAGAAGAACAACCCTCCTACAGTCTGACCGTAACAGCTCATGACTGCGTACAACCTGAATCACTGCAACTCACCGGCACCGCACAAGTCACAGTGTTGGTGGGTGATGTCAATGACAACGCCCCGGTGTTTGTTTCACCCAACAGCGTCACCGTACCAGAGGACAGTGAGCTTCATTCTGTCGTCACGATGGTACGTGCTGAGGACATGGACGCTGGTATCAATGCTGACATTTTATATTATTTAAATGGCTCCTCTAGTGGCATGTTCAGCATCAATGCCATAAGTGGAAACATATACCTGAAGGAGACTCTGGACAGAGAGCAGGTGGACGTTCTGACGATCACCATAACTGCTGCAGACAGAGGCTCACCTGGGAAGGCGACGGTTCTGAATCTCACCGTTCACGTCGAGGATGCCAACGACCACGACCCACAGTTCACAGGCACCTACGGTGTCACCGTGAGAGAGGACGTTCCCAGAGGAACCAGCTTGTTACAAGTCCAGGCTCAGGATCAGGACGCAGGCCCAAACGGACAAGTGCGGTACGTGCTGACCCAGAAGGGACCATTTGTCATTGACTCAGTTCGTGGTGTTGTGACATTGATAGACAAGCTGGACAGAGAAACCGAGTCAGACTATGACCTGGTTCTGACAGCCGTAGATCAGGGTAACAGTCCAAGATCTGCTGTGGCTACAGTCACCGTCACAGTGTTGGATGTCAATGATTTTGCTCCACAGTTCTCTCCAGAAACACTCTTTATACATGTCATGGAGAATGAGGAGGATCCTGCTCTGCTCTCACACCAGGTGCTTCAACATCTCACTTTACAAAAGCTAAGAGAACTTTGTACACTGAATATTTTGATTTCTTTTTTTTCCATTTCTCTGTATCCAGGTGTCAGCTTTGGATGAAGATTCAGACGTCAACAGCCAGCTCACCTATTCCATACAGACAGGCCACAGAGATGGTTTGTTCTCCATCACTCCAAACGGCACACTTCAGATTTTAAACAGTCTAGACAGAGAGAGGGAATCACTGTACGTTATAACCATCACTGCTGTTGACTCAGGTAATACCACAGGCTGTAACACAGGGCTGTAGCTGTTTACACAGCTCAAGGCTGAATTTATTGTTATAAAAAAATGCGTAACCTTTGACCTTTTCAACCTTTAAATTACACCATTAATTTTAAGACAACTACAAAAGATTATTCCAACCATCCTTGGATTAATATTAAACTGTTCAGATGTGTCCCTCTGCTGCAGGCATTATTATTTATTTATTTATTTATTTATTTATTTATTTCCATTTCCAGGAGTCCCACCTTTAACAGGAACTCTCACTGTGAACGTCATTGTAGACGACGATAATGACAACAGCCCAGAATTCACCGAGAATGTCTACAACACCATAGTGTATGAGGACAGTCCTCCAGGTACAGTGTTTGCCATAATAACTGCAACTGATCATGATGTAGGACTGAGTGGAGAAATAAGGTAAGAAATTTGAAAAAAAAAATACTTGTCCGCTGTTTCAAATCAGCAAATATTATGTTCATTTTTTTTAAGACAGAATGTATTTTTCTTTCAGCTATTTCACAGACAACCCCGACCTGCCGTTTACTATTGAGGAAACATCTGGAGAGTTACGTACGACCGATGTTCTGGACAGGGAAAAA